GGGCAATTTGTAATCCCCACCTAGGCAAGACTTTCTTTACTTCTTCAAACATCCTTTCTAAAGTATCTTTATTTGAATCAGATAACAAGATGTCATCCATGTAATGATAAATGATGGACTTGGGGAATTGTTTACGAATTATTTCCAATGGCTTACTTACAAAATATTGGCACAGTGTAGGACTATTGAGCATACCCTGTGGGAGGACAGTCCATTGATATCTCCTATTAGGCTGAGAATTATTATTATTTTTTTTTAAATATTTATTTATTTAATATGTATGCAATATTCTGTCTATGTATATGACTGCAGGCCAGAAGAGGGCACCAGACCTCATTACAGATGGTTGTGAGCCACCATGTGGTTGCTGGGAATTGAACTCAGGACCTTTGGAAGAGCAGTCAGTGCTCTTAACCTCTGAGCCATCTCTCCAGCCCCTAGGCTGAGAATTATTATAAGTAGGCCCTGTGAAGGCACATTTTTCTCTATCCTTTTCTTGTAACGGTATAGTGAAAAAACAATCTTTCAAATCAATAACTATAATTTTGGAACCATTGGTGTCCTCCCACAGGGTATGCTCCATTTTGGCACCCAACGTTTGGTTTCAGAACCTCTCCTTTCCCTGCTCGCAGCCGCGAGTTCGGCTTGGCGTCCGGCTTTGCAGCCGCGAGTTTGGCTAGGCGGGAGCCCTCCCTTCCTCAGCCGCCGCCTGTGCCTTGCAGCGGCTACACAGGCCCGCATAGTCTCTGCCCGCGTGGTTTGCTCTTTTCTGAGTCATTTTTAAATCTCCCTTGCAAGTACAGCTCTTAAGTGGCACAAACCAGAGCACGCGGTTGCTGAAAGCTGCAACCCCTCAGGGTGACTCTGTCACGTGGAGGCATAAGCGGCTTCCAGATTGCTCTTCTCTACCCCTGGATTCTGGGTTTCTGGTTCCGTCTCAGGAATTGATTTAATTACATTTACTTTGTTGAGAAACTTGCATTTTCCAGTTTTTTTAAATAGTTATTTATTTATTATGTATACAATATTCTGTATGTGCATGTCTGCAGGCCAGAAGAGGGAACCAGACCTCTTTACATATGGTTGTGAGCCACCATGTGGTTGCCGGGAATTGAACTCAGGACCCTTGGAAGAGCAGGCAGTGCTCTTAACCACTGAGCCATCTCTCCAGCCCCCAGCATTTTCCAGTTTTTAACATCTACTAAGGTACTGAAACAGGACCATGTTTTCACCGCGACTCTGCAACAGCGCCACCTGCTGGATAATAGGTAATATGGCAGTTTTCGTTTCTAACGCAAATTTTACTGCTTTGTTTTCACTAATACAATGGATTAGTAAACTTATATTTACTAATACAATGAATTACATCATACAAGGTTTATATGATTATGGGGATACCTTAATTTGCTTGTTACTAGGCCTCAGTTTTCTTTTCCATATTCTATCATTAAGGAAGAATATGACACTCCTAAGAACGATTGAATCTTTACGTACTAATAATGAACAGAAGAATATGGCACTCCTAAGAACGATTGAATCTTTACGTACTAATAATGAACAGAAGAATATGGCACTCCTAAAAACGATAGAATCTTTACAAACTAATAATGAACAGAAGAATATGGCACTCCTAAGAATGATAGAATCTTTACGAACTAATAATGAACAACTAATTGACAGGATTAAAATTATTGAAAATCAGAGGTTATCTGAACAAGTGGATACCATGACAGACAAAATTGATTCCATATCCAAGGGTATTAGAAAGTTACCTGAAAGGGTTCAGGCTGTTGAATTTGACCTTCAGACTTTATCACAAAGTTTTGATAAGGTAACAGACAGAATGTACCTCCAAGATGGGAATCTACATGATATACAAGAAAAGTTTAAGGAGGACATGTTATCTCTGAAGGAAAAAATTAAAGCTTTAGAATCACAGGTGCAGAATGGGGACCAAAAAATTGATACCTCAGTGAAATCACTGGAAATATACACAGGTCAGGAGATTCAGGATTTAAGAGAGACAATGATAAAAAGATTTGAAAAGATTGGGGAAATTATTGCAGCTGGTGAACAGAGTAAGGAGGCACAAGGACATGATACGATGCCTCCACCAGCTATTAGAACTGGCTTACCCAGGGTTCTAGCGACATACCCTATACTTAATTCTGAAAAAGCATCAACTTCTAAAGGCTCAAAGGGAGTCAGAGAAGCTAGATGGACGCCAATAGCAATGAATGATCTGAAAGAAATTAAGCAAGCTGTTGTTAATTTTGGCTTGCACAATGCATATGTAAAGGAAATGATAAGGACTTGGGCTTCTAATGCTAGAGCTACTCCCCATGATTTCCATCAGTTAGTGTCTGCAGTTTTAGATAATGGACCTTCCTTGATGTTTGGAATTTATTTCAGAGAAGAATCCAAACATATGGAACAGCAAGGAAGAGCAAAAGGTATTGAGGTTTCCCAAGATCAAATTCTTGGTGCAGGAGAATATGCTGATCCACAGGTCCAAGCTCTTTATGACGATGAAGTACTGTGTCTATGTCACCAAGCAGCTTTAAATGCTTGGAATAGGATACAAGATCCAGCAAAAAGGGTTGAATCATATACCAGAATTAGGCAGGGACAGAGAGAACCCTTTATTGACTTTTTGCAAAGATTAATTAAGGCTCTGGACATAGGGGTAACAGACCCAGAAGCTAGACGAATACTTCTTGAATCTCTAGCTTTTGAGAATGCAAACATAGAATGCAAAAAGATAATTGGGCCTTTAAAGTCTAGATCAGCACCTATGGATGCATGGATTCAGCATACGATGAATGTTGAGACATTTAGCTATAATGATGAATCTTGGGTAGGAGAAGCGATTTCCAAAGCAATGAGGAGACATCAAACTGCCAGGTGTTTTAATTGTGGTAAATTAGGACATTTGCAAAGGGATTGCAGGCAAAGAATTTCTAGGAATAATATCTCTTCTGGGAATGACAAAAATAGGAGACCTCGGCCTTCAGGTATACGTAGGAGATGCAGTAAAGGCAGGCATTGGTCCAACGAATGTAGGTCAAAAACAGACAGACGGGGCAATCCGATATCATCGGGAAACTCCTTGGGGGGCCTCTCGCAGGCCCCCAAGCCAACAGTGGCCCAGTCATTCCCAGTCACAGTGGAGAACGTGCCTCACCAAGAAAATTAAAAGCTCCAATTTCTGCTGTAAAAAGTAATACTGGTCTAAATGATGAATTACGTGTGGAGGATGAGTCTAAAAACCCAATAGGACAGAGTAAACGTATATTTTGGCAGACTTCTATTAATGATCAAAGGCCAAAGCTAAGAGTCTGTATAAATGGCACTTTTATTGAAGGTTTATTAGACACAGGTGCGGATGTAAGTATCATTACCCCAGAATCTTGGCATCCGAATTGGCCTCTTCAAGAGGTAGATGTTCAGTTCCTGGGAATTGGAACCCTATCTCGTGTAAAACAAAGCACAAGATGGGTTGAATGCATAGGGCCCGAAGGGCAAATAGGAAGACTAAGGCCATATATAGCCAATATTGCCATAAATTTATGGGGCCGTGACCTGCTACAGCAATGGAATACCCAGGTTAACATTCCTGTAGTTCCAGGAACTCATAATTCTGGGAAGGATATGATGAGGTATTATGGAAAAAGGTCACCAGCCATTCAGGCTGTACAAGAACATACAGCAAATACCAAACCTTTAGAGGTACCAACAGCCCTACCTTTAAAATGGCTAACTGAGAAGTCAATATGGACCAAACAATGGCCTATAGCTGAAGATAAACTACAGGCATTGGAACAGCTGGTGCAAGAGCAACTAGATGCTCACCATATTGAAGAATCAACCAGCCCTTGGAATTCTCCTGTGTTTGTTGTAAAAAAGAAATCTGGTAAATGGAGAATGGTGACAGATCTAAGAGCTGTCAACAAAGTAATTCAACCTATGGGCCCACTACAATTTGGAATTCCTTTGCCTTCTCTGTTACCAAAAGGATGGCCTCTTATAGTTATTGATTTGAAAGATTGTTTTTTCACTATACCGTTACAAGAAAAGGATAGAGAAAAGGACAGAGAAAAATTTGCCTTCACAGTGCCTACTTATAATAATTCTCAGCCTAATAGGAGATATCAATGGACTGTCCTCCCACAGGGTATGCTCCTAACAGTTGGGATCCCAGGACAAGAGCCAGACAGATTGACTGGATTCCTAGGAAAGGAAGTCAGAGTGCACATGGCAGGAGTGGGGTTCTCTTCTTGCACCTGTCCATGGACGGATGTTTCACAGCACAGGCCAGCAGCCCTGCTCTCTGATTCCCAAGCCATGGTCAGGAAGGGGTTGAGATGCAGGATGTGTGGCCAGCAAATCCTACTTTGATGGGAACTACCACCCTGGTGAGCGATGCTGGCCCCTGTTTTTCTGGTAGTTGGGGACTAACAGACAGTGCTGTGCCTAAGAAGGAATGGACAGATTTCCATAGTCAGTTTTCTACTTGCACAATTTGTGTCCCCAAAATGAACTCAGGCCACTGGGCTCGGCTGCAGACACCTATTCCCACTGAGCTCTCTCTGCTCCCCACTTTCCTTTTCTCCTGTAACATGTAATTATGAAATGCTTCATTTAAAGTAGTTTGGAAAATGTTATGACCAAGATTTATCCCCTGGAGTCACACACATTATTTTTTATGACATGGCCTCTCATTGCTCGGGAACTCAGCAATTAGGCTGGACTAGCTGGATGGACAGCTCCATGATTCTGGCTGTCTCCTTTGTCCAGGGCTGGGATTACAAATTCCCATCATCCTCCTGTCTTATAATGCAGGTGCTCCCAGTCAGACTCAGGTCCTCCTGCCCGTGTGCAAGGGTTTCTAACCCAGTCATCTCTCTAGCTCCCTTGCATGTCTCTCATAACAAACTTCCCCAAACAGCCCCTCACCTGCTCCTTGGGATGTCAGCTGCTCACCTGGCTGGGTTTGGGCTTTAGTCTGCTGGCCTGTAGGAGAAGAACCAGGGTAAGTGTGGCAGCCATGCTGATCCTCTGTCTGCCTCTCAGCTGTTCTTTGTTCAACATTAGGGGACCAGGGCAGCAAAGAGCTCTGTAGCAGCCAATCAGGGAAAGGAATGAGAGTCCCCAGGACCTGAGGCCAGTCCTCAGCTGTCCTTCTGCACAGCCAATCAGAGGACAGCTCTTCTGTCCACTGCCCCTTGTCCATGTCCTTCTCCCTTTGCTTCCTTCCCCTGTCTTGAACTCATGCCCCTTCCCTGCTCTCCCTGCTCTGCACTCACCAGGCCTCCCTTTTGTCTCCCTGGAACCTGGCTCCCTGGCTTCCCTGTGAGTGCAGCGCTACACCCTGCAGATTCAATCTCAGGGTTCAAATCCCAGTCAGATCTGCTGCCTCCCAGACTGCTGCTCTCCACCTCTCAGCTGCTCTTCTTATCTATTGCAGGGCTGAGCCCTTGTGAAAACCAGGGCCTGCATGTTCAAGTCTGTGTTTCCGGGCTTTCCAATACATTCCACTATCTGTTCATCTCTGCTCTTGTCCATGGATTTAAGTCTGATCTGAATCTGGTCCACACTGCCTTTGTTTTATGTGTGTCCAAGGTCTTGTGGAATCCAGGTTCACCTTCAACTTTCTATGTAGCTTCATATGATCTTGTACTCTTAATTCCCCCATGCACTTCCCAATGCTGGAATTAGGGTGTCTCCTACTGTGTCCCCATGTTTGTTTCTTAGAATCCTTTTGATTTGAGAAGACAAATCATTTGTCTTTACAAAAAAGCAATTGGGATTTGAACAGAGACTGCATTGACTTTTTAGACTGCTTTGCATTATAAGGAGTTATTGTATAAATGTTTTCATTATGCAAATATCCATATATATTTTAGTATTTTCATACTTTTTTGTTTTTTATTTTCATACTTTTTATATATTTATGTCATGCAGTACATATATGTAAGTGTACATTTGCATGTGTTCACACACATATGGGTGGTAGAGGACAACCTTGGGTATCAACCTGCAGGAGCTGTCCACTATAGTTTTGGGGACAGGTCTGCCCTTGATTGGGGTTCACTGATTCGGCAGGCCTGGCAGCATAGTGAGCCTCATGGGTCCTATTGCACCTTTCTGTCCAGTATCTGCCAAAGTAGTCAACTTTATCTGTGAACCCTAGGGATGGTACCCATGGTTTTGTGTTTATGGGCAAACACTTCACCAACTGATCTGAATCCTGGCTGCTCTCTCATTTTTCTCAGCAGTGTTTAGTTTTTAGGGTGCAAATCTTTCACCTCTCTTAGTGTAGGTTCTCCCAGACATGTTCTTTTCACCTGTGGTCTATTGCACACCGTTGTTTAATTTCTGTGTTGATACCATATCCCCAACTCAAGCAGTTCTCTGTCTTCACGGTCTCACCTCCTGTGAGATGCTGTCCCTGAAGGCTGCTCTACCTCAGACCTTGTTTAGCAGCCACAGCTCTTTCCAAATGAGCAGTTAGCCCCTGGGGCTCCTGCGAGTCCCTTGAATTCCTCAGGAGCAGGCTGTGTTCATCTGCACTTGATCCTCTAATTTCCAGCTGGGGCTCTAAGGACGTAGGCACAGATTCAGTCCTGAGTGGGTTCAGCCTCTTTTCTGTCCTTCTGTTCTCTGTTCTCTGCCCTGCACATGTTTCCTGTACTGGCTGTTCTTGGCTGACTTGGACTGAATCGGGAATGAACTATAATCCAGTAATGAAGGGTCACACTTGTGATCTGGAACTCAAGGGAGGAAGACAGCATGCCTTTGATGCAGACCACGAGGCTGGAAGGCACTTTTTATCTGGGCCACTCCTTCTGTTTTAAGCTGGTGCAAGGACAAGGGAAGCAGGAATTCTTCACCTACTTGCCCTCACCTCCGTCATCACATTTATTTCCATAATCAAAATCGCAGAAGAGCAGCTGAGACACCAGCCTCGTGGGACTGAGAAGCTACTGGGTCCTTGGGTGTTCCATTCACAGTTAGTCATTGTTGTATGGCAGCCATAAGTCATTCCAATAAATTCCCATACATTCATTATATTCAAAAATATATTTCACTATATATTTATACATATATTCATTCCATAAATTCTGTGACCCTAGAGAACCCTGACTAATACACATACCTATCTCCATGTCCCACAACTGAGAAAACTCAGAGGTAAGCTCAGGTGAGAGCCTGTCCTGGACCACTCACCTTGTCTTCCACCAGAGGAAGATCAGCATCACATAGACGGGGGTTATGAGCACAGCCGTGGCCACCACCACCCCAACAATGGCTCCCATGTTCACAAGTGAAGGATTCCTCTGGCCCTCTGTGTCCTCCAGTCCAGCCGTGGTGACTGCAGAGGTGATGATGGAGGGGCTCTGCATGGTGGTGCTGACTGCTGGGGAGAGATGAGGAGTGAGCAGATCCTCCCTGGATGAGGAGGGATGGGGTGAGTGTCACATCTGTCTCCACTGTGGGAGGTGGGATGGAGACCAGCTGTTAGAAGTTCACAGAGGGGAACACATGCTGAAGGCTGAGACTCCAGGAGAGCAAGCTCAGTGCACACCCTCCACCTGTCCTTATGCTGTGTTTCATCAGAGTTACATTTAGTTCCAGATAATTAAGTCATAGAAATATAGTTGTTTTGGTCATAAATGTATGGAACAAGCAGATGTCTCAGTCTGTATTGTGTTTGCTCTCAGGAACTTAGACACCGAGTTTGATCCCTAGAATGCAATGAAGATCGTGGTGAACTGTGCATGACCTTTAATCTTAGTTGTAAAGGCAGAGGCAGCCAGATCTCTTTGAGTTAAAGTCAGCCTGTCTATATATATTTAGTTCCACACCAAACAGAGTTGAGTGAGTTGTTTACCAGTAAAATGTGGCAGAAACAGGCATGTCCCTGGGGCTCACTGGTTAGCCAGCCTAGTCTATTTGGCAAACTTGAAGCTAGTGAGAGACCCTGTCTCAGAAAATAAGGGAATGGCTCCTGAATGTTTCCTCTAGCCTCTGAATGCAAATGAAGAATTATCAATGCTTGGGGAGCAGAAGCCAGGAGCAAATGCAGTCCCAGAAGCCAACCCAGTATTGAGACACTGGCAGATGAGTATTGAGCCAGTGACCCAATTCAGAGTTAGTGACTTCCATCAGAACCGGAGTGGGACAGAACCAGCTGCCTAGGATAGAGAGCAAATAGCTCCACTAGGAGCAGAAGCCATAAGCAAATCCAGTCCCAGGAGCCATGCCAGTCCCGAGACACTGGCAAATCAGGATTGAGCCAGTCAGTGACCACATCCAGAGTCAGCAATCTCTACCAGAACAGGTTCAACTCCAAGCTAGGGACTTCTGGAGGAGGGGATCCAGACAAGGATTTACAGGAACTAGGCAAAGCAGGCAACCTAGGCCAAAGTAGACCTGAGACAGCAAACTGCAAGGGAACAGAGCAAAACACAGGAGCGCTGAGCTATGTCCAGGAACACTGAGTAACCAACAAGGTAACTAGAACTGTGACACTGACTGTACCACGAGGAACAACCATCTGAGCTTTGGATTCACTGGCACCCAGAAGATTATTCAACAGAATCTTAGACATTCCCAACAACACCTATTAGAGGAAAAGAAGAATAGAAAAGGTAAGATTACATGCTACACCACAAAGAGCAACACAACACCAGTAAAACCTAAAGACCCCTCAACAACAATATTTGAACAACCAAAAATGGATGAACCAGAATAAGATGACCTAAAAAATAACTTCAAGAGAATGTTTAAAAATTTTAGAGATAAAATGAGAAATTCCCTTAAAGAAATTGAGGAAAAGACAAACAAAAAATTGGAAGATATCAGCAAATCACTTAAAGAAACCCCCCAAAATAAATCAAACATATAAAAGAAACAATTTAGGACTTGATAACTGAAATAGAAACAATAAAGAAAACACAAGCCGAAGAAATTATAGAAACAGAAATCATGAGAAAAAGAGCAGGAACCACAAATGCAAGCGTGAACAGCAGAATACAAGAGATGGAAGAAAGGATCTCAAGTGCTGAAGATACAATAGAGGAAATAGACTCATCAGTTAAAGAAATCATTACATCTAACAAAAGCTTAACCCAAAATATCTAGGAAACATGGACACCATTCAAAAGCCAAATCTTAGAATAATAGGTATAGAAGAAGGAGAAGAAATTCAACTCAAAGGCACAGAAATTTATTTAACAAAATCATAGATGAAAACTTTCCCTAACTAAAGAAACATATGCTTACATTAACACCAAATAGACTGGATCCAAAAATAAAGTCCTCTCACCACATAATAATCAAAACACTAAACATACAGAGTAAAGAAAGACTATTAAGTGCTGCAAAGGAAAAAGGCCAGAAACATATAAAGGTAGACCTATCAGAATTACACCTGATTACTCATTGGAGATGATGAAAGCCAGAAGGTCATGGTCAAGCATTATGCAGACATTAAGAGAAGACGGATGCCAGCACAGATTACTACACCCAGCAAAACTGTCAATCACCATAAAATGAGAAAACAAGATATTCCAAACAAATCTAGATTTCACCAATATCTAGCCACAAATCCAGCCCTACACAAAATACTAGAAGGAAACTCCAAACCAAGGAAGATGGCTACAGCAACAAAAACACAGACAATTGATGATCTCATTACAGCAAATCCTGAAGAAGAAAAAATGCACAAATTAATATCACCAACAATGACAACTAAATTAGCAGGAGATAGCAACCACTGGTCATTAATATCGCTTAATGTAAATGGACTCAACTCACCCACCCCAAATCTGATTCCCAGATGCAGGGTCTGTTTTTCTCAGCTCATTTGACATTCTGTGGCTGTGAGGGCATTTTTGATGTGTGCAGAAGTTGCAGTGTTGGGACTTGGAGAGGTGGTCCTGGGGCTGGGAAGAGATAAAGGAAGTCAGCATGAACTTCCCCAGTGGGAGTGAAGATTCTAGAGATGCATCTGCAGCACTCTTTGCCATCAGACACTGAAGCAATGGACCCCAAGGAACTGGAGACACCCAAGGAGTCTCAAGATGGGAGAAGGAGGGGCTGGAGATATGGCTCAGTGGTTAAGAGCACTGACTGCTCTTCCAGAGGACCCGAGTTCAATTCCCAGCACCCACATATTAGCTCACAACTGTCTGAAGATCCAGTTGCAGGTTATCTGACACCTTCACACATAAAAAATAAAGTTAAATAAACCATAAAAATATTTAAAAAAAAAAAAGATGGGAGAAGGACAAGGCAAAGCTTGGAGCCAGCCAGTAAAGAAAGATGATGGCTCACAGTGGGCGGGGCCACACCGGACCTGGGACTGCTTAGCTGTGCAATGTCTTGTCTTCTATTTAGGCCTAAACCTCAGGTCAGGATGTGAAAAATCCCAAATACGGAGTTGGGGGTTGTCACTGGACCTCCTTGTTTCTCCTCCAATCTGGTCAAGCTGAGCGCTGAAAGCTGTGACATCATAGAGTAATTGCCCAATCATCTTTTCAGGAGAGACTTATCAGAACAAAAGGGTCTGCTAAGGGCTAAACCCAAAGGCAAGGCTTTTGCGTTCTTGCTTTGTTAATAAAGTGGCTGTCCTTTGCTGTAGATTTTTCACTGTAGCTGGCTTCCCTTCTGTTACATGTTTGGGAATTAATTTTCTAATTCAGAACAGTTTCCCACTGCCAGGCCTTGTTCCTCTCTCTAGGTAAGCACAGAGATCTGCCTTCCTGCAATTATCTTTTTTTTTTTTTTTTTTTTTTTTTTTTTTTTTTTTTTAAGAAAGAAAGGGTTTATTTTGGCTCACAGTTTGAAAGTAAAGCTCCTTATAGCAGGAAAGGTCACGGCAGCCAGTCACATGGTCTCTGCAGTCTGGTGTCTCTTTCCAAACTGTACAATGCTTATCATTAATGTTGTTCTTTTTTTAAAAATTCTGCAAGATCCCCGCAGCAGTAGGCAGCAGAAATGCTATAGGTCCCAAATGGTGGCAGCGGGCCATGTGGTGGCAGGCAGCGGGCTCTGGGAGCAGCCGGTCCCAGGCAGAAATGGCTGCCGGTCCCAGAGTGGTGGCCTGAGCGGTGGCGGCGGGCCACGTGGCGACAGATAGCGGGCCCTGGGAGCAGCCAGTCCCAGGCAGAGACAGCTGCTGGTCCCAGAGCAGTGGTGGCCCGAGCAGTGGCGGCAGGCAGTGGGCCCCAGGCAGAGTAGGCTGCTGGTCTCTGAGCAATGGCTGGTTCCAGGCAGGGAGACACATGGCGGGCGGGCAGAAGACAGAAATATGGATAGACATGACATGCAGGGTCAGGTTGAATGTTTATTCAAGGGGTTATGGAGGAGGAAGGGTGAAGCGGGGGACAGAGAGAGAGGGAGAGAGAGAGAGAGAGAGAGAGAGAGAGAGAAGAGGAGAAAGAGACAGAGAAGGGGGGGGGAAGAGAGAAGTGGGGAGAGAGGCAGAAGTGAAGCTGCCTCTCCGAGAGGAAGATGGAAAAGAGCTCCTGCAATTATCTTTATCAGCAGGCATTTGGTCAGGGCTTAGGGTCCAGGCATAGAGCATCACCTGCCCAAGCTGCTGCTGTTGTTTTACCCCACTTAAAAGATTCTTACCTCCTATGCTCACTTTTACCTCGGTTCACTGATGACTTTAGTTCAGGACTTTCAAGGGCAGCAGGAAAAATAATTAACTGCAACCCAGAGAAAGACCCACAACACCAGGATCACAACGACTGATAACAGCATAGCCCAGAAGCATAATTTAGAGTCCTGGTTGTCTTCTCGGTTTAGAGCTGTGAGTCTAACTCCAGACCTAGACCATAGAACTGCATTGTCTGGTATCCTATCTCCTTTGGGGGATGCGGGATGGGGAGCAGCTCTTAGAAGCTCACACAGGAAGAAGGGAACAGATGCTGAGGCTGAGATCAGGTGAGCAATGACAACTCTACTTCCTGGTAGGAATGTCCTCAGACGCTCATGTCATCCCTTACAAAGAGCGATCTCTGAGTCACACAGATCTAAACAGTCATTTTCTAGTAACAGTTCTTGTTAGAACAGAAGTAGTCTGCCAGGGTGGACAAGGCTGCTCCTTAGACGTGAGTTATTGAACAAATTCTCAGTGCCTGGCATGGCTTGCCTCCCTGTGCCTTATCGGTGAGCGAGGTTCAGAGCCCCCAATCCCAAACAGACTATTGGCATTGCTCTTGGTTTCCCACCCCAGCTAGATGGTAAGAACCTATTGTTGAAGACGCTGCTTGCTTTTTATGTAGATTTGAAAATACATTGTAAATTGTATGAAATATTTAATCATATACTATACTACTAAAAATCTTTTTGCCATTTGTTTAATGTGTGAGTAGTATGTGTATGCTGAGTGTCCCTACATGCACCTATACACACAAGCACATGAGTGCGCACACACACACACGGAGGATAGAGATGTGCACATGAACATGCATGTGGGAGCAGAAGAGGCTTCTGTGTCCTCCTACAACATTCTCCATCTCTTCCTCAGGGGCAGCTTCTCTCTGTGAAATGGGGGCTCAAGCATCAGCTAAACTGAAAGCCGACAAACTCTGCAATCCTCCTGCCTCCACCTCCTTGGTGTCACAGCATATGCAGGGACACCCAGCTTCCTCGGTGGGTGATGGGATTTGAACTATGGCCCTCACAATCACAAAGCCACTGCTCTTAACATTTATTTATAGATGGAGTCCATGTAGCCCAGACTGGCCTTGAACTTGCTGTGTAGCTAACGACCTAAGACTCCTGATCTCTTCGCCTCCACCTTCCACTGGGATCACAGGTTTGCACCACTCCACTTAAAAATCAATTCTTATCTCACTGGTGGAGCACACCTCTTATCTCAGCATTCGAGAGGCAGAGACAGGCAGATCTCTGTGAGTTCAAGGCCCATGTAGTCTACATAGCAAGTTCTGGGCCAGCTAGTGCTACATAGTGAGACCCTGCCTCAGGTATAAGTGTATGTAATGTACGATATATCATTTGAACTCAGCAATATGCGGTCCAGTGGCTTACAGCGCATCCATTGTGCAGAGCAGCCATCATTATTATTCAGTTCCAGACTTTTTTATATAAAGAATTTCGTTTGTTGCCCTAATCTTAACAGAGAGCGTAGGGAAATGTGTCTGTATATGTACATATATCTATACTTACATATTACCTTCTTTCCCAGCATGTCCCAAAATAACAAAACAAAATACAAAGTTGTTGGAAGTGTCGGGCTGAGTAATGACTGAGAGGGAAGGAGTCTCATCGGCCGCTGTCATGGATAAGGTTACAGTCACTAAGGAAGTGCAGTCCCGAGAGGAGAAAAGGCAGGTCAGCAACTGCGGAGATGGCTCAGTCCAGAAAGCACTTGCCCTGTGCTCTGGTTAGTTATTGTGTCAATTTGACAAAGCTGTAGTTATCTGGGAAGGGGACCTCAGCTGAGAAAATGCCTCCATCAGATTGCCCATAGGCAAGTCTGCAGGATATTGTCTTGATTTGATTGATGTGGGAGGGTCCAGTTCACTTTGGGTGGTAAAATGTCTGGAATGGTGGTCCTGGATGCTGTAAACAAAGCAGGCTGAGCAAACCCAGAGAGCAAACCAGTAAGCAGCCCTCCTCCATGGCTTCTGCATCAGTTCCCCTTCCAGGTTCCTACCTTAGGTGTTCCTTCCTGAGGTATCACACACTTTCTTTGTACGACAGGCCATGTGATCACCTGTAACCTCAACACCATGGGAGATGGGGACAAGAGGATCAATGCAGCTTTGTAGCCCTTCAGCCTAGCCAGAACAGTGAGCTCCAGGTTCAGTGAGAGACCCTGTCTCAAGGGAATAAAGTCAGTCTTATTAGAGGAGGATTCCCAGTGCGGCGCTCTGGCTTTCTCAAGCACAAAAAGGGGCACACACACACACAAACACAGACACACACATATGTGTATACACACACATACATGTATACTTACATCATATATACATGGCCCATGAAATCAAGATAGTAGGAGGCAAACAATAGAGTGAACTCCAGCAGAGGCCATGTGTCTATAGTTGAGAGAGGCTTGGAGGTAAAGGGTCCTTGTGGGGTCTGTTGGTCAGCAGCATGACCTGGGGCAGGGGTTGAAATCTGCTGGTCTCCATGTCTCTCTCTGTATAATGACCATGAGAGTGCCCAGAAGTGGTGACAGGTGGCAAGGGCAATGCCCACACGGTGACTAGGCTGGGCCTGAGTGCATTCTGGGTGGAAGCTGAAGTCACAGCTGCCACAGAGGAGGTGAAGCGACCAGAAGACCTGATCATGGTGAGGGAGAAGAGGGAACTGAGGGAGGGGATAAAGAAACCAGGGCAGGAGAGGTGAGGGATGTGCCTTAGAGACAGGTGAAGTAAGAGGATCCGGAGGAGGAGGGGTATACATGGGGACACGAAGGCACCCTCTGTGGACGGCACTAGATATTGTCTAAACCAGGAACTCACGGAGACCCAAACACAGCACCAAGTGGAGGTTGCTCCATCCTGGAGAGGCCACACGCACATGGATTTCTGGCAACATGGGCAGGGGTGATCAAGGCAGTAGTGCAGTTGGGAGAAAGGAGCAGGAGACTGGGCATCTGGGAAGAGCTGAGGCCCGGGAGTGGGGTGGGATCTGATGGCACAGTGAGGGGACAATTCAGAGAGAGCAGCTAAGGCTTGTGGATGGTTGTGGGGAAGAGGAAGGAGGATGTTGGCAGAGCTCTGGGGAGGGGACAGAACACACAAGAGGAATCTGTGGGACGCATCAGACATATTAGATCCTTAATGACATCTATGGTACATGGAAGCCAGCGCCACCAAAGCCTGACCTGGGATGTGCTCTTCTTGAGTGATGGTGAGGTGGGTCCCTTTGATCGACTGAAAAATCTCCGGTTTTTTGTCTTCCTTTTCCACATTCATAAAAACTCGGCAGAAGTACACTGCCTGATCTTCCTCCTTCAAGTCCAGGATTGTGAGGACTCCGGATGTCTGAGGCTGTGTCCAGTTCAGGAAGATCCGGTCCTTGAAATGCTTATGTATAAAGCCAGAGGAAGAGTCATAGATAAATTCCCCATGGTACTGCTTCCATCTCCAGAAAATCCTCATCTGTGGATTCTTTGCCAACTTCCAGGGGAAGTAGAAGGTGAAGGGGATCTCGATGGAGCCGCCCTGGACACCAGAGACGTGTGTTGGTTGATCAAATCCATACGGCCTTTCTCTGTAGGATCCTGCTGTGTTCCCTGAGAAGAATGAGGAGAATGTGAAGCCACTTCGGGGATGGAATGGACAACCCAGAGCTTCCTGAGCCATCATCCATAGGCAGGTGTGGGACACAGGGGAGGACTGTCCTTTTGTCACTTTGTCCCATGTGGGACAGGACAGATGGGGAAAGGTTGGGCTGGACCAACTCTGAGGATGAGCTTTCTCTTGGGGCACAGAGGGCCGGCTGGCTTCTAGAGCAGTCACCTCCCCACATGCCAGCCGACTCTTCCCAGCCCCACTCACCCCTGCTATGGTTAAGTCCCCAGTAGTGAGGTCCCCACCACTCACCAGCTTGCAGGCAGGCTGCTGGCAGCAGCAGAAGCAGGACACAGGCCATGTCCAGAATCCCTCCAGGAAGTGAGACCAGCTGAGCCATCAGGAGGGAGAACAGATCCTCTAGAGGGTCCCTGCGGGTGGTCAGGAGTCAGGAGAAAATCAGAGCAGAAATGATCCTCATCCCCTGAGCTATATGAGGAGGACTGAGTGTGGGCAGGACCTCCCAATCTCCACCTCCTCGTGGCCAGGAGGTAACTTCTGGTAAACTTCCTTTACCATTCTGGCTTCTTCTTTCCCATGTTGCAGAAGAACTGCGTTGGTGGTCACTGAGAAGATGACTGTGCCCTTGAGCCCAGCTCCTATTTTGGCTGGAAGATACAGCCTTGATCTCTGCATGCAGGGCTCTCCTCTCTTCCACCTTGACCTCCTGTGTCATCCAGTCTTTCCATTCCCTATGCAACTGCAATCACTCTTTCCTCAGCTCCCATTTCCTCCACTCCTGCCCTCCCCTCAGTCTGTTTCTCACTATGGCTCCCCTCATGCTGGTTGTCTGTGTCTTTCTCTCTAATGATCGTGGTAAAAAGTGGTCAGTTTCTGCTCACTTCAGACACAACGAGGAAGGAGGCGATGAGGAAACACATTCAGTCACCAACCCTAGTATGGTGACCCCACCTTCATCTGCTCTTTGCCCTCTTGTTCCCTTTCAGGGACTCTTCACAGCACCCCAGGAAAAGCAATGCCCCATGGACACTCTCGCCCTGACTGCTTGCTGATGCCGAGTCTGTGCCTTCCCTGGGCTTCCTGGGTGATTGTCCCCCTCACCTCGACAGTGACTCCCACGCTACTCCAGCTTCTGAATGAGCCGTTCTGCCTCCCACCACCCTTAACACACACTCAGAAGCAGAAACCAAGGATCAGAGAAGGCCTGGCATATGTCACATGACTGGACCAGGACAGGTAACTGGACTTCAGTCCCATTGAGTTTTTTTATTCAACCATTCCACACTGACTTCCGGCTGCCTTCTTGGTGCAGCCTTTGAACTGTCAAGGCCACGGATCTGTGGCTGGGCTCCCAGGAGGCTGTTTCACATAACACTTGAGTGATTTCTTCTATCTATGTGTGTTCTAAAACCTTCTTTGTATGAAGTGGGAAAGAAGGCTCAGAGCAGCAGTGTGCCATTATTGATATATTGCCTGGGACATCTCTGAGAGTGGACACAGCTGGACTGTGGCTGGGGTGTATGTGTGAGAGGTGGGGACAGAGGCTGTGCTTTCCTCAGGGCTGGTTCTGTAGGAGGTCATCCCACCCTTTCTCATGACAAGGTGTCATCAGTTTTCTGAAGGGCAGGAAGATGTGATTGGACCAGAGGAAGTGGCATCATTCTCCCGGAGTGACGTGTGCAGACCCGACTTCACATTCCCTTAGATCTAATGGCACTGACTGCCTTCTCCATGCCCCCCTCAGATGACTATGCAGCCACCCTCTGTCATGTCTGCTTTCTCTGCCTTCCTCACAGTCCCCAAGGTCCTCTGATACAGGCACCAGCTCTCATGGCCTCCCTCCCAGCTGCACATGGAAGCACTTCTGTATCCATCCGTCACTGGAGACACTGAGCTCCCAACTTTGGGATGATTTAGGCCCAAACAGTCCATCAGTTGGGAAAGGGGACTGGGCCTATCATGTCTGTCACAAAGTCCACCCTTATTGGATAGGGTCCATGTAGCCCAGGCTGGGCCTTGAACTTGTTATGTAGCCGAGGATGACTACTGAGCACACCGGGCAGGTAAGCACTCTTCCAGATGAACCTAGTCTTTAGTCTCAGTGAGGAGTGAGAGGGCCTCCTGATCCTATGTACTCATCTCCAGGTTTCATCTGGCCTTGCTCTACTGTCTAGGGTGTGTGGGTGAGGGTCACCCCATTTCTAAGTCTCTCAAGGAAGGCCTGGGGCCGATAACGTTGCCATGTACCAGCTGCTGGTCTCCAGCATTTTTTTGGGGGGGGTTCTCCTTTTTTTTATTTAATATATTTCTTTATTGATAATTGCATAGATGCATATAAATTATGAATTTATTTACCTCCATTTCCCTATTCCAATCCCTTTTGGGTCCCCAATAATTTCACATCCTCTTTTTTTGTGTGTTAAAAATATTTTTTTAATTAATTAATTTATTTTGTACACTGTTGGTCCTTCAGGATCTCAGCTGTCCCTGTGCTCAGCCTCACTGCTGCCACCTGCTGGCCCCTCAATCCTAAAACATGAACTCTGTTCTAATTTCAAGTCCTGGACTCAGTTGTTTCCCATAGGGACCCTGCTGTGGGATGATTTCTGTCCAGCAGGCTGTAATCATTTTCCTGTAGTTAGAACCCAGTTTTCCCCAATAGCAGTGGCTGGACCCTGCAGCCATGATGCTTTCACAGAGGAGGGGCACCTTCTGTGGATGAGCAGCCTGGGCAGTGGGGTGCACACATGGGGCTTTCGCATACATGTGACCATGGGGAGTGTCAGGTTACAGTGTTAGAACCTGGCTGCTGCTGTTCAGGCTGCAACATGAGTGTGCCCTGACCCACAGAAGAAATAGGTGAATATAATTTAAAAAGTTGAGGTGGACATGGTGGCACACACCTTCTTTCTAGTATATGGGAGGCAGAGGCCTGAGGATATCTTCTAGCGTGAATCTGTATATTGAGTTCCAGACCAACCAGGACTATACAGTTATTTCTGCTACTGAGGAGAGGCAAGGATCAGAAGACACAGCAGCCACGTCATGAAAATGGGGACATTGCTCTGAAGAACCTTCGGGCCTGTGTGGAGAGGTGACAGTGGGGAAGGATAGAGGGGAGATGGGAGCCAGAGGTAACATCAAGGGAACAGGGAAGCCAGAGGCCTCAAACCAGAACCAGGGTGGCTCACCATGGGTGATGGGCAGTTGGGTCCCATCAATCGACCACCAAGTCTACAAGCCTTCTGTTGTGTTTACAGAAATAAGTGGTCTAGTCCTTCTCCTGTAGGTCCAGGGTTCTAGGGCTCCATATGTCTGTGCAGATGCAGAATCCAAGCCTCACTTCCAGGCTTCATCTGGCCTTGACCTACTGTCTGGGGTCTGTGGGTAAAAGTCAACCAATTGCAGAGTCTCTAGCAGGAGTTACCCTCATTAGACCTGACCTATGTCAGCTGCTGGACTCCAGCATTTTTGTTTGTTTGTTTGTTTTTGAGACAGGGTTTCTCTGTAGCTTTGGTGCCTGTCTTGGAATTTGCTCTGCATACCAGGGTGCCTTCAAATTCACAGAGATTCACCTGTCTTTGCCTCCCTAGTGCTGGGATTAAATGTATGTACCACCGTTGCCTGGCTAAGTCCAGCATTTTTAGACAGCAGGTTCTGGTGTGGTCTATAGGTGCTCAACCTCACTGCTGCCACCTGCTGGCCCATGAATCCCAAGACATGTGCTCTGTTCAGTTTCAAGTCCTGGACTCAGTAGATTCCCACAGGGACCCTGCTGAGGGATGGTTTCTGTCCAGGATGCTGTAATCAGTCTCCTGCAGTGAGAACCATGTTTCCCCTACAGCAGTGACTGGACCCTGCAGCCATGACACTTTCACAGAGGAGGGACACTGTCTGTGGAAGAGCAGCCTGGGTCTGTAGTGTGCACACATGGGGCTTTTGTGCACAGGTGACCATGGGGAGTGTCAGACTGCAGTGTTAGAACCTGGCTGCTGCTCAGGCTATAGCACAAGTGTGTCCTTCACCCGCAGAATGAATAAGTGTAATTTTAAAAGTTAAAACTTAAAGGGGGCTAGACATGGTGGTCCATGCCTTTAATTCCAGCTTTGCAGAGACAGAGGCAGAGTCAGAGGCAAGCACGAGTGGATCTCAGTGAGTTTGAGCCTAGCCTAGTCTATATATCCAGTTCCAGGTCATCAGTCGCTCAAAAAATCCAAAACAAGCGAAGAAATCCAAGGTGGAATGTGTCCTGAGTAGTAATGCCTGAGGTTGTCCGCTGGCCTCCACATAGGTGAGCACACGCTTGCACACATATGTACCTGAATACAGACACAGACATATCATGCAAGGAGATATCCAGACTGGGTCTGAAAAAAGTTGAGGGGATGTTAGAGAGAGGGTGGAAGATGATGGCCTGTGGTGTAGACAGGACACTCAGGCTGCACTAGGACTCTACAGTAGCACCGTTGCCCCGCCCCCATCTAAACCCTTCTTTCTCCCCTAGCATGACATCATCATCTTCATCTCCCAACCTCAGCACGAGCACCTTCCAGCACCCTTGTATAGGGGGAGCCCCCAGAAGAGACTCTCTACTGTGTCCCAAAGTTCAGTTTAGTCACCTACTCCTCTTGTATGAAGTCTCCCAGATTCTGCAGATAGCCAAGGCAAAGGAAGGACTCACACGTCCCTGAGTTTGAGGTCACAGAAACTGAGAAACTCTCAATCTCCTCTTCGACTTCCTGTATTGCTTAATGAGACTCTTAATAGTCACAAAAATTATTTCAGTGAATGTAACGGAAAATTGGTTAGGTCTTCAAGTTCTTGTCTCAAACCAAAGTGAACTGTGATGACCTGCCTCCATGACCTCTCTGTGCTGTTTGGAGTTTTGGTTAGCTTTGGTTTGTTGGTTTTAAGACAGAGTCTCATGTAGTCCAGGCTGGCTTCAGACTCTATAGGTACTAATGATAACTTCCAATTCCTCATCTTGCTCTCTCTACCTGTCAATCATTGGGATTCAAGGCTTATGCCACTATGCCCGGATTCCTCTAGTACTTTTTGTTACTGACTGACTCTGGCTGGGGAACACGAATCCTAAACACTGGTAGCCCTGCTAGACCCCATGCCTGCTCCCATTAGAACAGTCCTGTTCCCTTCACCTTAAGGGAGTTTTTCCTAAATGCTGTTGAGAATTCTGGTTCTGTGTAAGTCTTTGCTGTGGGCCCCTTTGTTATTCCTCTGTTTTGAACAAGGGAAACTAACATGACAGTCCCCATGGTCATTGGAGTAACATCCATGAGAACCCTTCTCTGTGCCCAGCTACCTGGATGAGGAGATGATGAATGAACCATTCCTTAGATGACTGGGCAGATGGTCACCATGGCAGCCTGCCTGTGTGAACACCTCAGGGATGCTCAGGGAAGACACCACCCCAGCAGCCAAGATCACTGTGACCATGGCTGCTGCTAAGTTCAGCCTCAGAGGCTTGGATCCAGTTACACCACAGCGGACATCTCACAGCTGCCCCAGGAGACTCTACTGTAGTCGTGAGAAGCCTTGGTGACTTCTCCATCACCCCTCCTAGCTTCAGCTACTCCCATGGGGATGGGACAGTTTTCCAATGACTCAGCAAAGGCCTATGATTGACACACATTTGAGACTTGTCACTGATGGAATAAGAGCTGCATCTGTGCAGGGCTGTGATTGGTGGATCTGAATCAGCATGCCTGACTTAGGGTTTCTATTGTTGTCAAGAGACACCATGAGCATGGCAACACTTATAAAGGAAATAATTAATTTGGGATGGCTTACAGTTTCAGAGGTTTAGTTTATTATCTTCATGGTGGACATGGCAGCGTGCAGGCAGACACAGTGCAGGATCAGGAGCAAAGACTTATCCATCTGAATCAACAGGGAGAAGGAAGTGAACTGCATCTACTCTGAGCATAGACTGACCATAGGTGACCTGAGAGCCTACCTCCACAATGACACACTTCCTCCAACAAGGCCACACCCACTCCAACAAAGCTATGCCTTCTAATAGTGCCAATCCCTATGGGGATATGGGGGCCAACTACAGCCACACTGCCAAATGCCCATGCACCACCTTTGGCTGTGAAAGCAGTCTGGATTTCATCCTTATCGGTCACTGTGTATGCTGTCCTTATGTCCCAGCATGCTCTTTGGTAGAAGCTGACCCACTGACTACCAAATGTTAAGACAGTCTGGACTTGGGAAGGAAGTCTTGTCCTAGGGGAGACCCCACAGGTCAGAATATCAACATGGCAGGAAATAAGGGAAGCGGGGGCTTGTAGTTGGGCCTTTGAGGAAAGGAAGCCCAGCATGGGACCCAAGCAAGCCATGGTCTGTCACCAGAGGAGGAGCATGGAGGGGTCGCTGTGTCTCTCTGTGTGTGTGTGTTTGACACTAACTTGTCAGTGTCTAGGGAGTAAACGAGAGGAACCAGAATCCTCAGGCAGGAGTTCTCAGTGTGGACCATGGTCTATGCTCCTTGACACAGTCTCTCATTCTGACACATAAGAGACCTCACAGGTAGGTGTCAAGAGAAAAACAATTGGCTTTCTGGGAGTAACACATGTATTGAAAATTGTTTTTACTTCCATAGCCGAAAACCATCACAGTGGGTCTTCGGGACCAGAGACAGACAAGATGCCCTGAGTTCGGAGGAGAGGAAATCAGAGCCCACGTGGCAGCAGTGGGGTTCTCTTTTGTTCCCTTCTAAGAACAGGGTATTTCACTGCATAGGCCTGCAGCCATGCTCTCTGATTCCCAGGCAGGAGGCAGGGAAGGGGCAGGATGCTGGAGGTGTGGCCAGCAACCTCCCTACTTTGAGGTAACCTCACCTCATAGGTGAGAGGCCTGGCACCTGGAGTCTGTTAGCTGGGAACTCATAGGCTGTGTCAGGTGCCTGTCTATAGGCGTCTGTGAGAGGGAGAGGACAAGTTTCCATGGTCTGTTTTCTTTCACCTTTTGAGTCCCCATGAATCAACCCCAGGTTCCTGGGCCAGGCGGCAGGCTCCCTTTTTCTACTGAGCTATCTCTCTGCTCCCCACTTTTCTTTTGTTCTACTCCACCAAGGCCACACCTACTCCACCAAGGCCACACCTACTCCACCAAGGCCACACCTACTCCACCAAGGCCACACCTTGTTGTCCACATGATGGGTGCACATCCACATCGTGTGGACAGCTGCCAACATTTGGAACATCCCGTGTCTTGGGCCACTAGAAAAAATGAGAGAGGAGGGGTTTTCCGAGGGCCAGAAGTTATGAGTCACGCTAGTGACCCTTAACTAGATTCATTTAGGCAAATTCTGTGGATCTTTTTATTTGTATGAAAAAGGCCTAGGAAGTTAGAACTGGAAATTGGGAGTTTCTCAGTTTCTCTGAGTTCCTGACGTGTGAGTTTCTGTCCTGGCCATGGGTATCTGTGACCCGTGAGCGTCTGACTGTGGTATCAGAGGAAGCTGGGAGTCTTCCTACTAGAAGCACAGGTGACTCCGAGATGGTCAGCCAGACCCGCTCATTTGGTCTTCATGGTGGAGTATACAGTCTCTTCCTGGGGGTTCTCATGGACAGGCGGGCAGGCTGGTGTTCCTGGGGAGGTCGGGCTTGAGAGGGCAATGGAGGCATACACGATGTTGTTGTCCTGCGGGGGTGGGGACAAGGCATTAGATAGCAGCAGTGCAGCTGAGGCTCCATAAAGCAGCAGCTGCAGCCTGAGTGTCCCCCAACACCTCTGGCCTCCAACCTTCTGTCTCCATCAACACCCCTTAACTCCTTCAGACCTGAGTCTGAATTGCTTACCTTGGGGTTCTCTTTGGGGTCCATATGTTGTCCTAGAGAAAAAGGAACACAGAGTTCTGAAGTCGAGGTGTGTGACAGGAAGGGAGACAGATTGCTGGAAGTTCCAAGCCTGAGGTGAGGACCTTGGTTACTTGGAGGGAAAGGGTGAGGGCGGGACAGGGTGAAAACACTGAGGGAATGCTTGTGTAAGTGTGGGGTCTTGGGAGAAGAAGGCAGAGCCAAGTGTGCAACAAGAGGCTGGCAGAATTTACCTTTGGGCTCAACTTGCTCACATTTCTCAGTGTTTTCAGTGAGTTCCCTGCATGAGAACAAGATGGGCAACAGATTAGAGGCTGGGCAAGAAAGAATTAAGACATTAGGTGCTTGGCTGGAGAGATGGCCCAGTTAGTAAAGTGCTTGCCACATAAACATGACATCCTGACTTCAGACCCCAGCACCTACAAAGCTGGGTTCTGGAGAACTAGAGAAAGGCAGAGAAGTCCCTGGAGTTAACAGGCCATCCTGGACTAACAGATGAGGTCTAGATTCAGTGAAAGACCCTGTCTCAGAAGATGAAGTGGAGGCTGGAGAGATGGTTCAGTTAGCAAAGGGCCTGCTTCCCAGTCATAAAGACCCAAATTTAGATCCCCAAGGACCCATGTAAACTATGCTGGGCACAGCCACACAGTGGTGTCACACGCCTTTAAACCCTGCACTCAGGAAGCAGAGGCACTTGGATCTCTGTGAGTTTGAGGCCAGTCTGGTCTACTCTGTGAGTTCCAGGACAGCCAGGGATGTTTACACAGAGAAACCCTGTCTCAAAAAATCAAACCAAACCAAACCAACAACAAAATGCTCTGGGCACAATGTGCCTGGAGGGTGGGGGTGGAGATGGGTGGATCCCCGAAGCTGTTGTCTGGGCAGCCCAGTCAAACTGATGAGCTTCAGTTAGTGAGAGACCTTACTATAAAGGTCTCAGAATAAATATTAAGTGAAGGTGGGAGAAACTGAGGAGAGTCACAACATGGATCTTTGACCTCCACATACATGCACAAGTACACACACAAACACAACATACATGCAGGAATCCAACATGGAATGGACAGCAACTGAGGAAAACACACCATTGATATCTGCCTTCTAAACACACGGTCACGTGTGTGTGTGTGTGTGTGTGTGTGTGTGTGTGTATGTATGTATGTATGTATGTATGTATATGGTGCATGCTTGTATTCTCAGTGCTCAGGAAGTGGAGATAGGGGGACTCCTGATGTTCACTGGCCGATCCACCAGGTCTAACTGGTGAGTACCAGTCCACTGTGAGATCCTATCTCAAACAACAAACAAACAATCAAACAAACAAACCCCCCAAAACAAAACCAATAACCCAAAGAACAACAACAACAAAATCCAAAACTCAAGTGGGGTCAGGAGAAATGACTTAGTGGGTAAAGCCATGCCATTAAGACTGACAACCTGACTTCATCTCAGGGATCCACAAGGTGGAAGGAAAAAGGCAGCTCTCAGAAGCGCTCTCTCTGTCCTCAACATGCGTGCTATATCAAACTGATACCAACGCATATACGCATATGCACACAAACAAATAAGTAAAATGTAATAAAATTAGCTATTTAAAAAGTGGTTGACACCTGAGAACACACACACATACATGCACAGACACACAGACACACACAGACACATGCATGCATGCACACACCCAAATACACATGCCCACACTAGAAGCTGGTTCCCTTTGAGTGGCCTCTGCCATCCTCAATGACTCACGGTGTACATGTTGGTGTTCGGCCTTCTCTGGAAGAGGAATGAGAGGCCATTGGTAAGGGGCCTGGCTGAGGCTAGCTGAAGGTGAGTCACTCTAGGAAACGGCCTTATGCTGGGCAGGAACAGAGACTAGAAATAGGAAGAACCAACGCTATTCTCTCTCATCACCTTGATTAAAACTAGAAGGCAGAAAAATTTCAGATCTTCTGGGTAGGTGCTCAGGCTAAGGTCATGGAAGAAAGGACCTGAGATCAGACTGGAGGAAGGACATCTGGCCAAAGAAGACACGGGAGAGGAAAGAGGGAGGAGCTGGGGATGCAGTGTTGCTCTCAAAGTGCTTGTGTTAATTGACAAGGTCCTGGGTTCCATCCCCAGCCCCTCCTAAACTAGGTGTGGTGTGATGCCTGTCATTCCAACAGTTGGGAGGTGAAGGTGAAAAGATCAGAAGTTCAAGGTTGCCCTTGGCTTCATAGTGAGTTCAAGGCCAGCCAGGCCAATCTGAGACCCTTTCTCAGAAAAAATTTAGAAGGCTCAGAGCAGGTCACGTGCAGTAAGGAAAAGGAAAGACAGGAGAGAAGGGCAGAGACGTTGGGAGGTGAAGAGAAAGGGGCAAAAGATATGGAAGACCTAGAACAAAGGATTCCTGGGGAGCGGGGCTCACTGACCACAGAGAAATGCAGAGGGAAGAAAGGGAAAGATGGGAGAGCTGGCGGAATCCAGGCCGATGTTCAAGGCTGAGAGGAGCCAGAGCCACAGAGAGGGAAGCCTAGGCAATGGAAGGAGAAAAGGAGAAAGACCCCATGAGGACTGCGGGTGGGGGCTGTTCTGGAAGGAGACTTCCTGAGACTCTGCTGCACCCCTTGTCAGTGTGTGAAGCTGGTGGCCCAGAAGAGCAAGGCGTCTTTTAGGACATGGAGGAAGCAGACAGGATGAGTCAGGGGTGGGGAGATGTGCAGAGCCCTGTGTGCGGTTCTCCATTGTTCTTCTAATGCCATTTGAAGGGGCTGGAGAGATGGCTCAGTGGGCAAGAGCACTGGCTGCTCCTGCAGAGGACAGGATGGTGCTCACCTGGCTGGGATTTTGGCTTTAGTCCTCTGACCTGTGGGGAAGAAACAGTGTCAGTGTGACATCCGTGCTGATCGTCCATCTGCCCCTCAGCTGTCCTCTATGTTCAGCCCCTTCAGAGGACAGGGGTGATGGAGGAAGGTCATTGGCTAATAAAGGAACTGCCTTGGCCCATTTTATTGGTTAGAAGATAGGTGGGAGGTGTAAACAGAACAGAACGCTGGGAGGAAGAGGAAGTGAGGTCAGAGTCTCGACAGCTCTCCTCTCTGGAGCAGACGCCTGAGAGAGACACCATGCCCCGCTCCCCGGCAGACATGAAGCTCCGACCCAGGATGGACATAGGCTAGAATCTTCCTGGTAAGCGCACCTTGGGGTGCCATACACAGATGATTAGAAATGGGATAAATTAATATGTGAGAATTAGCCTAGAAGAGAATGGGCCAAGCAGTGATCAAATGAATACAGTTTGTGTGTTGTTATTTCGGGCATAAGCTAGCCGAGCAGGCGGCTGGGCTGCTGGGAACGCAGCCCTGCCGCCCCTCTTACTACAGTTGGCGCCCCACGTGATGGACTAAACCCACTTAAAAAAACCTGAGAATGCTTAAAAATAAGGGAGAGAGAGTTTAACACAGATTTTTGCTGTTTGTTGGTGGCATGCTGTAGAGAGATTTCCTGATTCGGCAACAGTAGCAGAAAAAACGCTGTGTCATTTTAAAGCGCGACTTCCTGGGGCTGTGCTGCCATTGCAATCTCTGTCTGGCTCCTGCGGGAGACAGAGCTTTTGAATGGAGCATTTGGAGTAAAGTGCTACGATTTGCTTGATGGCAACTAGACTCGCTGTGTTCTCGGGTCTGCTCTGCTTGCTAACAAGCAAGCGCCTCATCTAAGAGAGGCTTCCTGACTCAGCTTCAGCTGAAAAACCCTGCAGCTCTGAAGAGGTCCTGCCACGAAACACTTAAATGGTGTTGACGAAAAGCTGAACACATGCTTTTCGGTTTTCAGCCATAGCAGGAAAAAAGCTGCGCCATTTAAAAATGCCGGCTTTCTGGGCTGTCCTGCCAGGACAAACTCTGACTCTTTTGCACAGGCGGTTTGTGCGGTTTGCAAGCACAGGCTGCTGAAGCTCGCTTGCTGGCTACAGCCAGTACCTCAGCCATGAGGCTGGAAAGCTAAGGAATGGGCTGGATCCAGCCGGCAAACCCACACCTTTAATCCTACTGATATTGCTTGGTAAATTAAAGATTCATGTGGTCAGAAAAAGAGAGATATACAGTAAAGAGAGATTCAAAGACAAAAAAAATTTCTAAATGGTTTGAAGTGTGTTAAAAATATATGCAGACTAAAATTTAAAGTTCTTAAAGTAACAAAAAAAAAGGAAGAGAGTTGTTGTGTGTGGTACACACCTTTAATCCCAACACTTGGTAGGCAGAGGGAGATAGACCTCTGTGACTTCAAGATGTGGTAGCACACGCCTTTAATCCCAATGCCTGGGAGGCAGAGACAGGCGGATCTCTGAGAGTTCAAAGACAGCCTGGTCTACAGAGTTACTTCAGGTCAAAGATACAGAGAACCTGTCTCAAAAAGCAAAAAGTTAAAAGTAAAAATAAACGAAATAGAGGTTAAAACAAAGCTGTACAAAGATGGAAAATAGACAGAGAATTTTGATACTGTATGCTATTATGCTCTCTTTGAATTATTTGAATGCCGAGGAAGGAGCAACAGCTGCTAAAAGATATTTATTTATAAATGCTGCTGAACTAATCCGACATAGATATTTTGATGCCTTGACTTTGAAATTTGGATCTAAGGACATGATGCTTTGGAAAGGAGTTTCTTATTTTGTTTTCACAGAGGTGGAGATGCTATTCATTTCTTCTATTCCGATTTGGTATGATGGACCACGCCCTCCTGAAGGATTGTTGTGAACATCTTCAGAAAATTGCTTCGCTCAACTGCCAACTGAGATGAAACTAACACACAGGTTATACCATAAAAGACCTAATTAACGACGCCCCCATTCAGCAGGAAGCAGTTTGGAGAGAAATAACTGCGCCCATATTCCCAAATATTATTTATAAATGTTCTTTTACATTTAAAGGGGGATATGATAGAGATATGAATAATTTACATTGATATGGATTTTGTTTTAGTGATTTAAGGTCAATTTTGTTATATGTATATGTGTTTCTGATCTTGATTAAGTAACTGTGATTGTGTAGTTCATTTAAAAATGTAATGAATAATTAGAAATATAGATTGTTAATAGATTAAGAAATATAGGTTGTTAATGGATAATCATCGATAATAGTAAAGCTTGTAGTCATGTTAGTTAGATTTTCTAGATATATAGAGATATATTTTAGATAGACATTCTTCATGTCTTTCAAAGATTACAGAATAGGACATTTAATGTTTTAATAACTGAGGACTTTTCATGACAATGAGACACTCTGCTCCTGGCAGCACCAGTCTACTTCAAGAGGAAGATGGGCATCGAAGAGGCTTGTTATGGAGTTTGATAGCCATTTGGGCAAGAAACTGCTCTTGCCTGGATTATTGCATAAACTGGACACAGAGAACCCGCAGAGAGAGGACTACTGAACTTGCCTAAGGTGAGATGATCTTTCGGGGTTCCTGATTCATGAAAGAGTCTGCGAGACATTCTGCAGGACACAACAGATAGTGACTGAACTGACTTTGAATTTTCCTGCTTTATGGAAATGTCTGCTGGATAGCATGGGCCTGAAGGCTGAAGATGGATGCCCCAACGGTACAGAGGAACTTTGGGTGACTGTCCAGGCAGCAAGATGTCTCTGTCATTTCTAGAGTTTTAAAAGTTGCTTTTTTCTTGTTTGCTTAGGTAGTATTGTATCTTTCTGGAGTCTTTGATGGAGTTAAGAATAGTTAGTTATAGTTATAGTTTTCCTTAGTTATGATAAAGATTATTGTAACTTTTCCTTGATAACTGTTTTGTTATATGTAATTTTGCTATGTTAAAGCCTTTTTTTTTTTGTTTAAACCGAAAAAGGGGAAATGATGGAGGAAGGTCATTGGCTAATAAAGGAACTGCCTTGGCCCATTTTATTGGTTAGAAGATAGGTGGGAGGTGTAAACAGAACAGAACGCTGGGAGGAAGAGGAAGTGAGGTCAGAGTCTCGACAGCTCTCCTCTCTGGAGCAGACGCCTGAGAGAGACACCATGCCCCGCTCCCCGGCAGACATGAAGCTCCGACCCAGGATGGACATAGGCTAGAATCTTCCTGGTAAGCGCACCTTGGGGTGCCATACACAGATGATTAGAAATGGGCTAAATTAATATGTGAGAATTAGCCTAGAAGAGAATGGGCCAAGCAGTGATTAAATGAATACAGTTTGTGTGTTGTTATTTCGGGCATAAGCTAGCTGAGCAGGCGGCTGGGGTGCTGGGAACGCAGCCCCGCCGCCCCTATTACTACACAGGGGAGCAAAGAGACCGCCCCAGACAGTGAGGGTAGAGCCTGGACTACCCCTGCTGGGCTGCAGTTCCACACAGCAACCCCTCCCCCAAATCCCTGCCAGGTCCAGGCCCCACCCCCATCTCCTTTGTTCCTTCACCAACCTTGAGTTCCCCCTGACCCTGCACCTGCTTGTCTACTCTGCTTTCTCCTGTCTTCCTTTTTGTGCCCTTAGGAACCGCCTCCTTCTTGATTGTATTTTACTCTACTGGTCTATGTGTGTTGGTGCATACTGTGCTGTTTTAATTACTATAGCTTTTAATTGTCACTTATTTATTATGCGGCTGGGGCTGTGCCACAGTTTGTGTGGAGGTAGAGGGCATCTTGCAGGAGTTGGTTCCCGCCATCATCTGGTTCACAGGAGTGGACACTGAAACTTTTTACCCTCGGAGGGCTAGTCTAGCCTTTTATCTTTGTAATTTATTTTTTTCTAGAATTTTAAATTTTGTGCGTCTGTTTTAGGGTAGATGCACATGAGAGCAACTGCCTGTGGATTCAGGAAAGAGCTGATAAGCCTAGAACTGGAGTTACAGGCGGTTGTAAACTGCCTGGTGTGGGTGCTGGGAGCAGAACTCAGGTTCTCTGTAAGAGCATTCAGTGCGCTTAACTGCTGAGCCATCCCTCCAGCCTCCTATTGCAACTTTGAATAAACTCTGGGATCAGGCAGTGGAGTGCTCCATTATCGGTCATTTCATTTCTGTAGTTGTTTATCTCTTTTTGTCTTGTTTTGTCTTTGAGAAGGCATCTGAATTGGAGAGGATAAACTGTTTTTGCAAATCTGTCATTGTCATTTAGATGGGAATTGTATTGAATTCAATTTTTGTTGTATAAACACCTTTTTTAAAATAATCTTTAAGGGGGCTGGAGAGGTGGCTCAGAGGTTAAGAGCATTGCCTGCTCTTCCAAAGGTCCTGAGTTCAATTCCCAGCAACCACATGGTGGCTCACAACCATCTGTAATGGGGTCTGGTGCCCTCTTCTGGCCTGCAGGCATACACACAGACAGAATATTGTATACATAATAAATAAATAAATAAATAAATAAATAAATAAACATTTAAAAAAATAAAATAAAATAATCTTTAATTATTTTTATTTTGTGAATGTTTGCCTGTTTGTGTTTGCCATGAGTGTGCCTGGTCCCTGTGGCAGTCAGAGGAGGGCATCAGATCCCCTGGAACAGGAGTTACAGGAGCCTGTGAGCCATCGTGTGGGTGCTGGGAATCAAACCTCAGTCCTCTGCAAGAGTATCCTCCTATAGAGATTTGCATTGGTATGGATCTTAGTTATTGATACAAATTTAAGATCAGTTGTGTTACACACACACACACACACACACACACACACACACACACATATATATATTTCTGTTCTTGCTTAAGGTATTGTGATTGTGTAGTTCATTTAAAAATGTAATGTAGCCGGGTGGTGGTGGCGCACGCCTTTAATCCCAGCACTCGGGAGGCAGAGGCAGGCAGATCTCTGTGAGTTCGAGGCCAGCATGGTCTACAAGAGCTAGTTCCAGGACAGGAACCAAAAGCTACGGAGAAACCCTGTCTCGAAAAATCCCCCCCCCCCAAAATGTAATGTATAATTAAGAATAAAGGTTAATAGATAATCATCTATAATAGTCAAGCTTGTAGTGTTAGTTAGATTTTCTAGATGTATAGAGATATATTTCAGGTAGATATGTATTCTTCAGATCTTTCAGAGACCTTCAGAATATGGCATTTAAAATGTTTAAGAACTTAAGACTTTTTATGAGTGTGAGATATATCTGCTCCTGGCAACACCAAGCTACTTCAAGAGATGATGGGCATTGAAGAGGCTCCTTACGGAGTCGGTTGACCATATGGCAAGAAACTGCTCTTGCCTGGACTGCTTTATAAACTGGATATGATGGACCCACAGAGAAATGACTGCTAAACTTGCCTAAAGGTGAGATAATCCTTCAGGGTTCCTGCATCATGAATGAGTCTGCTAGACATTCTGCAGGACACAGACACACACGCAAATATGATGGACAAACTGCCAGCATAGGTGGAACTGTCTTTGAAATTTCCTGCTTTGTAAAAGAGTCTGCTAGTTACTATGGGCCTGTAGGCTAAAGATGGATGCTCCAATGATACAGAAGAACTTTGGGTGACTGTTCAAGCAGTGAGATGTCTATGTCAATTTTATAGTTTTGACAGTTGCTTACAATGTCCTTCCTGCTTACTTACATAATATGGTAACTTTCTGGACTCTTTGATTGAGTTGAAGAATAAATGGTTATAGTTATAGTTTTCCTTAATTATAATAAAAGATAAAATAGATATAAATATTGTAACTGTAATTCTTGCTTGATACCTGTTTTGTTATATGCCATTTTACTATGTTAAAGTTAAAGCCTTCCTTTTTATTTAAACAGAAAAGGGGAGGTGATGTGGGATTTCCCTCTGTATGCTGTGATTACTGTGAATAAAGAAACTGCTTTGAGCCTATAGCAGAGAAGGGAGGGGCGGAGCAGAGCTAGGCAGGGAGGACTGGACTGAAGGCTGGTAGGAAGAAGGGCAGAGTCAGGGAGAAGCCACGAATCCTCCACCTGATGCAGATGCTGGGAACTTTAGCTAGTAAGCCACAACCACATGGCAATATACAGAATAATAGAGATGGGTTAGTTTAGGATATGAGTTTTGCCAGAAATATGCTTAAGCTATTGGCCAAACAGTATTGAAAATAATATGGTTTTCTGAGAGGTTATTTCATGGCTGGGCAGTCGGGATGAAGAAGCGACCCTTCCCCCAACAGTATCCACTGCTCTTAACCACTGAGCCATCTCTCTAACCACCTAATATAGACATCTTAATTAATTTTTCCATTTTCAGAATGAGTTTTTTCCTACTCACCCACTTCCCCTGACATTCATCAACATCACTTATTATTCAGGCATCTGTAATGGCCCCTGAGGTTCAGACAGGATATGTTCTCATGCAACCACTAACAGCACCTCCTGTGTGCATTTGCTAAGTTCCCGTTTAAAAAGTGGGCCTTGCCCACCTCCCATCTCTTCCTTTCTCTCTCTCTTTCTGCTCCTCTGCCCTGCCCTCTGTCTCCCTCTGTAATTCTCTCTCTGCCTCTCTCTTCTCTTCTGCTGCTTCTGTTCCAGAAGCTGGTCTCCCTTTGCCCATCCCTTTGCCTCTGTTATTAGACACTTGGGGACCTGACTTACAAGGTTCCCCCTGTCATCTCCTGCCTCCTCCAGCACCACACTACTCAAGAGTTCCTGAAATGGTATTTCTTTCCTGGAAGGCCAGAGGGTGTCCTACATGACTCCCAGCAATTTCTGGACTATTCTGTTGACAGGAGAGGGAGGGGTTGAGATAAATTTTCATGGAGTCAAGATCCTTCAACCCCTGCCACAGGTGCACAGACTGAGGTGTGGACCACAGTGGCTGTCATTGTATTTATTCTTAATTGTGTTATATTTGTTTATTCACCATGTATGTGAATGTGCACAGGCTATGGTATGTGTGTGTTAGAGGACAACATACAAGACTCAGTTCTTTCCTTGTGCTCTGTGTGTTCTAGCATTTCCAGTGTCTTGACCTCCTGAGCCACCTCACTGGGTCTGGCTGAAATTATTTATTCTTTGACATTCTATGTAATTTTTCTTCCTCTGGGAGGTTCTCTCAACACCTGTCTCTCCTCTGACCATGTCTGTCAACACCACAGCTCTTTCTAAAATGAACACTCAGTCCTTGGGATGCCTCCCCCATCACCCACAGTTACTGGGAAACTGGATGTTCATCTACTTAGGATCCTCCAGTTTCAAGCCAGACTTTGGGACCTGGAGCAATCAATACAGCTGAGCTGAGGCGACTTCCAGTCCCTTCTGCGTTCCCCTCCCCTGGCTCCTCCTGGGCAGGCCCTTTGTCCTCTGATGACGAAATGGCTGTGTCAACAGAGAAGAACTGATTTTGGACTGGACTGTGAGGTTCACAGACTGAACCCTCAGAGGCCTCACTTGGAGAACCAGCTTAAAGCAGATTCCCAGTGGGGTTAGCAGTGCAGGCCTGCAGTCAACCAAACTGAAACAACAGCAACAAAAGACCCCAGCTACTCTAAGCAGAAGCTCAGAGCCTGACTCTGGACTCAAGAGTAGGCCATCAGGGATCTGCCCTGGGGAGGCAGGAAGCCACCCATAGCTCCTCAAAAGCTGTCCACCTTGCTGTTTTTAAAGACAGGGTCTCTCACTGGGACCCGAGGCTCAACAATTAGGCTAGTGTGACTAGTCATCAGCCTCGGGGATGATCTTGTCCCCCCTGCTCAGCACTGGGACTATAAGGATTGTGGTGACGGATCCTCAAGCTTGCATGGTTAGCACTTTACTGACTGAGCCATCACCTGAGCCCCAGGATCTGAGCTGTCAACAATCCCCTTCGATGACTCTGGTGCAGATTGTCCTGTGGAAACACTCGGGAAGTGTGATGGGAATGCAATCTGGACACTCACCTTTCCTCCTCTTCCACCTGAGGAACACCATCAATCCCAAAACCCCAGCCAGGAGCACAGCAGCAGCCACTGCCACCCCAACTCTGGTTCCCAGATGCAGGGTGTGATTTTCTCTGCTCATCTGAACTTCTGTGACAGTGAGGGTGTTTTTGGTGCATGCAGAAGTTGCAGTGGTGGGGCTTGGAGAGGTGGTCCTGGGAGCTGGGAAGAGATAAAGGAAGTCAGCATGGAACTTCCCCAGTAGGAGTGGAGATTCTAGAGAAGCCTCTGCAGCACTCTTTGCCGTCAGACACTGAAGCAATGGATTCCAAGGAACTGGAATCACCCAAGGAGTCTCAAGCTGGGAGAAGGAAAAGATAAAGCTTGGAGCCAGCCAGTAAAGAACAGATCTCCCAGAAAGAGAGTTCACACAGTTTGATAACTCCTCAGATCACCTTGCAGGAGAGACTGAGACAGAGGATGATGGCTCACAGTGGGCGGGGCCACACGGGAACTGGGACTGCTTAGCTGTGCTTGTGTCTTGTCTTCTATTTAGGCCTAAACCTCAGGTCAGGATGTGTCAAATCCCAAATATGGAGTTGGGGGTTGTCACTGGACCTCCTTGTTCCTCTTCCCAATCTGGTCATGCTGAGTGCTGGAAGCTGTGACATCATACAGTTATTGCCCAGTCATCTTTTCAGGAGAGACTTATAAGAACCAAGGGATCCACTGAAGGCTAAACCCAAGGCAAGGCTTTTGCGTTCTTGCTTTATGAACAAAGTGGCTGTCCTTTGCTGTAGATTTTTCACTGTAGCTGGCTTCCCTTCTGTTACATATTTGGGAGTTAATTCCCTAGTTCAGATCAGTTTCCCACTGCCAGGCCTGTTCCTCTCTCCTAGTTAATTGCAGAGATCTGCCTTCTTGCAATTATCTTTATCAGCAGGCATTTGGTCAGGGCTTAGGGTCCAGGCACAGAGCATCACCTGCCCAAGCTGCTGCTCTGGTTTTACCCCACATAAAAGATTCTTACCTCCTATGCTCACCTTCACCTCGGTTCACTGATGACTTTAGTTCAGGACTCTCAAGGGCAGCAGGAGAAATAATTAACTGCAACCCAGAGAAAGACCCACAACACCAGGATCACAACGACTGATGACAGCATAGCCCAGAAGCATAATTTAGAGGCCTGGTTGTCTTCTCGGTTTAGAGCAGTGAGTCTAACTCCAGACCTAGACCTTAGAAACTGGAGCATCTGGTGTGTTGCTATCTGATCAAGAGCCATCAGCTTCTCCCTGAGTGTTTATGTAGGTTACCTGGAAGCCTCTATGCCCGCTTGGAGAAAAGAAGTGGCATGCAATTTAAACAATCCATGCCCTGTTCATAATTTTACTGAAATAAACCTTTTATCTCTTTTATCTACCACCTAAAAATGTAGAGTAGCTCAGTAACCTTCCCCTCGAGAATCCTCTGATAATTTAGTTCCTTTCTTAACTACCTTTCTCCATTAAGGAGTTCATAGATGTGTGTGTGTGTGTGTGTGTGTGTGTTTGTGTGAAAACCCTTCTCAGACTTTCTATGGGCCAAAAGACTTCTGATCCTGGAACCTTCTAAGGCTGGGAAATTGCTTGTTTTAAGGATATATGTGACTGGGAACATTTGTAGAATGGGTAGAACTGAGAACAATGTAGAACAAGGACAGAGGGAGAACAAGAGGGACAATGAGAAATGATGGACTGAAGAGAGAATAAAGAATCATGGATAGATCGGAGCTGTTGGGAGTAGACTTCTTGACCCTCAGATGTTTCCCCTCATATGTTTAGCCCCCCTTTAGCTCATTCTGACATCTTTAATTGAACCCTGAATAGGGAAGTCTTACAGGCACGAACTTTAAGGCCCCCTAAGCTGAGAACGCCTCTTTCCTCTGTTTTTCACTGTGACCTGTCTCTCTAATTGTCCTGTTGAGGACAGGGGGCCAAGCCTGGCTTGTTAGAGCTGCCAGGACCCAGGCTCAGACCCTACACGCAAGTAACAAGTGGGTTGTTCCTCAATGAAGGAATGGACAGACAGACATGGGTATCCTGTCTCCTTTGGGGATGTGGGATGGGGAGCAGCTCTTAGAAGCTCACATAGGAAGAAGGGAACAGATGCTGAGGCTGAGATCAGGTGAGCAATGACAACTCTACTTCCTGGTAGGAATGTCCTCAGACGCTCATGTCATCCCTTACAAAGAGAAATCTCTAAGTTACACAGATCTAAACAGTCATTTTCTCGTAACAGTCCTTGTTAGAATAGAAGTAGCCTGCCAGGGTGGACAAGGCTGCTCCTTAGACGTGAGTTATTGAACAAATTCTCAGTGCCAGGCCTGCCTTGCCTCCCTATGCGTTATTGGTGAGTGAGGTTCAGAGCCCCCAATCCCACACAGACTATTGGCATTGCTCTTGGTTGCCCATCACAGCTACATGGTAAGAACCTATTACAGAAGATGCTGCTCACTCTTTATGTAGATTTTAAAATACAATGTAAATTGCATGAATTATATAAATAAGCAAATGCTACTAAAAATCTTTTGCCATTTTTATGTATGTATATAGTATGTGTGTGAGTGTACACACACTCACCTACTCACATGCATGCACATGATTGCACACACACGAAGAATAGGAATGTGCTCCTGAATATACATGTGGGGACAGAAGAGGCTTCTGTGTAGTCTTGAAACATTTTCCATCTCTTCCTCAGCGACAGCATCTCTCTGTGAAATGGGGGCTCAAGTATCAGCTAGACTGAAAAATAACAAACTCAGCAATCCTCCTGCCTCTACCCCCTTGGTGTCACAGCATATGCAGGGACACCCAGCTTCCTTCGTGGGTGATGAGATTTGAATTTTCCTCCTCACAATCACAAAGCCACTGCTCTTAACCATTCTTAACATTTATTTAAAGATGGAGTCCATGTAGCCCAGACTGGCCTTGAAATTGCTGTGTAGCTAATGACCTTAGACTCCTGATCTCTTCGCCTCCACCTTCCACTGGGATCACAGGTTTGCACCACCCCATTTAAAAAAATCAATTTAAAACTGACTTGGTGGAGCACACCTTAAACCCCAGCATTTAAGAGGCAGAGACAGGCAGATCTCTGTGAGTTCAAGGCCCATGTAGTCTACATAGCAAGTTCTCGGCCAGCTAGGGCTACATAGTAAGACCCTGCCTCAGGTATAAATGGATGTAATGTACGATATATCATTTGAACTCTGAAATATGCGGTCCAGTGGTTTACAGCGCATCCATTTTGCAGAGCAGCCACCACCACTATTCATTCCCAGACTTTTTTATATAACGAATTTCCTTTGTTCTAAATTTGACAGGGAGTGTAGGCAAATGTGTGTGTATACATATCTGTGTGTGTATCTTTGCACATATATCTATAAATATATATTACCTTTTTTCCCAGAATGTCCCAAAACAACAAAACATAAAAGAAGTTGTTGGAGGTGTCGGGTTGAGTAATGACTGAGAAGGAAAGAGTCTCACTGGCCACTGTCATGGATAAGGTTAGAATCACTGAGAAAGTGTAGTCCCGAGAGGAGAAAAGGCAGGTCAGCAACTGCGGAGATGGCTCAGTCCAGAAAGCACTTGCCCTCTGCCCTGGTTAGTTATTGTGTCAATTTGACAAAGCTGTAGTTATCTGGGAAGGGGACCTCAACTGAGAAAATGCCTCCATCAGATTGCGCATAGGCACGTCTGTAGGACATTTTCTTGCTCTGATTGATGTGGGAGGGCACAGCTAACTGTGGGTGGTGCCATGTCTGGGCTGGTGGTCCTGGATGCTGTAATCAAAGCAGGCTGATTAAGCCCAGAAAGCAAACCAATAAGCAGCCCTCCTCCATGGCTTCTGCTTCAGTTCCTCTTCCAGGTTCCTGCCTGGAATTCCTGCCTAGCCTTCTCCTGATTATGGAATGTGATAGGAGTGTGGAAGCCACAATAAAATTTTTCCTCCCCAGTGCTTTGATCACGGTGTTTAACACAGCGATAGAAATTCCTACTAAAACACCTCTGAAGCACAAAGACTTGAGTTGCATCCCCAGGGACCTGTGCCTGTCTCCATGTAATCCCAGCACTGCAGAGGGAAGACGGGATCTGGGGCTCACTGCCAGCTGGCCTAGCCCACTTGGTGAGTTCCAGGCTAGAGAAAGGCACCCCTCCATAAAATAGGAGGGAAGAAAGAGAAAAGAAAGAGAGAAAAAAGAAAGAAAGAAAGATAGAAAGAAAGAAAGAAAGAAAGAGAAAGAATTGAAAGGCATAATGTGTCCAGGGAAAGGTTTCCGAGGTTGTTACCTGGCCTCCACATGTATGTCCACACAGACACATGTGTGTAAATAAGTAACCACACTGGCATGCTCATACACATAAATTAAAAAATTAATAAAAGTAAAGAATCAGACTTAATATTATAAAACACCTGCTGTGACTTTTGTTCCCATCAGAACCCACATAAAAATCCAGATGTGGTGAGCATCTGCAACCTCAGTCCTGCTTTGGGGAGACAGGACCAGAGATGGGAGAATCACTGGGAGGCTGTCTGGGCAGCCATCTTGTACTCCATGGTGAGGAAACACAAGAGGGAGAGACCCTGCGTCAAAGCAAATTGGAAGGAGAGAGCCGACTCCCAAAAGTCCTCTGACTCAGCCACTGAGACACCCACATGCCTGTGCACACAAACAGGAAATACAACTAATGAAGACACAGTGGAACAGGATGGGATAGACAGGCCAGAAACACATGCTGTTTTACAAGAGAATCTAAAAATCAGATCCGGGTTTGTACCAGGTCCTCTGAGTCTATGTTATGACTGCTAGTTTGGAGTTTTTGTGGGATTCCTAATAGTGGAAGTGGGTGTGTCTCTGACTCTTTTAGCTCTTGTTACTCTTTTCCTTCTATTTGGTTGCCTTGTCCAGCCTATCACGATAGAAGATCTTTTGCCTCATCTTGTTGTATCTTGTATTGCTCTGTTCAGCTGTTGTCTCTTGGAGGTCTGCTCTTTTCTGAAGATGAAACAGAAGTTGTGGATCTGGTGGAGAGGGAAGATGGAAGATGTGAGGGATGGAAGAAGAGAAGGGAGGAGAAACTGTGGTTGACAGGTATTGCATGAGAGAAGAATCAATTTTCATTCATTCAGAGAGAGAGAGAGACAGAGAGACAGAGAGACAGAGTAGTCACAGGGATCTTTTTGCTTAGACATGAAAGACAAAAATTGCAAAGGAAAGTATTATTGAATTTGGCTGCAAAAATGGAAATAATAAACCAACCACAGGGTTCTTTATCAATACTCATTGCAAGTATTTCCTCTGGTTGTTCTTTCTTTGCACTAAATGAGGGAATTTTGGTCAGATAAACACAATTCTTTTGGGGTCTGTGGATGTAGCTCAGTTGGTAGAGGGCTTGCCTAGCTTATGTGATGCCCTGAGTCCCATCTCAGGCACTGCACACAGGAGTGGTGACACACCCTTATGATTCCAGCACTTGGGAAATGGAGGCTGAATGGTCAGAAGTTCAAGGTCATCCTCAGCTATATAGCTAGTTTGAGGCCAGCCTGGCCTACACGAGACTCTGTCTTAAAAGATGGAAAAAAATGTCTACTTATCATTAATTTTAATCTTTTAAAAACAATGGGCAGGAATATTCAGTTAGTGAATTAATTTTAAAGATACTGATGAAAGAACCCATAGTGGCCATGAGATGTAACTCAATGGCAGAGCCCTGGTCTAGCCTGCATGTGGCCTTGGGGACCATCTGAAGTCCTGCTAGAGAAGAAACCATGGTGTGTCTGACTGAAGCAGAGACAGGCATGGCTGCCTTAAATTGAGATTTCTAACAAGCACCTACAGATTACGTCTAGGGCCAGGAGAAATTAGGAAAGGAGGAAGAAGGAGGAGGCTGAGAAGAACAGAGATCTCAGAAAAGGGCGTTTAGGGAAACGTGTAGGAGGCACAGGAAATGCAGATGTAAAGCGGCCTGGCCAGCTCTGGCTGTGGACTTTATCCTGAGCCAGCACAGGGGTTAAGATGAGCAGTGGTTGGCCAGGCAGAGGCAGGTGGGTCTAACCTGGAAGGGGCAACCTCATTTATCACTGTACCGTGAGAACTGGCAATGCAATTAATGGAAACTGATTATTATTTGGCTATTAATTTTATATTTTTCCTTCAAAAAATTACTTTTTATTAAATTTTTGCACACACATAATGGTGCACGAGTAAGTATGGGCTGTGGGCTTTATCCTGAATCAGCACAGGTGTTAAAATGAGGCAGTGATTGGCCGGGGGGAGGCAGGTGGGTCTAACCTGGAAGGGAGAAAGCCATTTATCACTAGCACTGCTGAGAATTGGCAATGAAGTTAATGATAACTGATTACAATTTGGCTGTTAATTTTATATTTAATTTTGTAAATGCTTGCTTTTTATTAAATTTTTGCACACCTATATTCGTGCATGTGTGTATGTGGGGGGGGGGGAGCGAGAGCGAACGAAAGAGAGAGAGCCAGAGCTTAACCTTAGTTGTTCCTTCCTCAGATATCATACACCTTGTTTGTAATCCAGGCCATGTGAGCCCCTGTAACCGCAACACCATGGGAGATGGGGACAAGAGGATCAATGCAGCTTCATAGCCCTTCAGCCTAGCCCAGAACAGTGAGCTCCAGGTTCAGTGAGAGACCCTGCCTCAAGGGAATAAAGTCGGTCTTACTAGAGGAGGATTCCCAGTGCTTCACTCTGGTGTTTCCAAGCACAAAAATGGGGTATATGTACAACACACACACACACACACACACACACACACACACACACACACACGTATGCTTATACTATATATCCATGCTCCACAAAATTGAGATAGAAGGGAGGCAAACAATAGAGTGAACTCCAGCAGAGGCCATGTGTCTATAGTTGAGAGGCTCTTGGAGGTAAAGGGTCCTTTCAGGGTCTGTTAGTCACTAGCATGACTCGGGCAGGAGTCTCCACGTCAGTGGTGGTGCATGGTCAGTGCAATCCCCACACGGTGACTCAGCTGGACCTGAGTGCACTCTGTGTGAAAGCTGAAGCCACAGCTTCCACAGAGGAGGTGAAGCGATGCGAAGACCTGGTCATGGTGAGAACGTGAGGATCTATGTGTGAAAGATGGGGATGCCGAGCAAGGAGGGAGAAGAGGGCACTGAGGGAGGGGATAAAGAAACTGGGGCAGGGAGAAGTGAGGGCTGTGTCTTAGAGACAGGTGAAGTAGGGGGACCCAGAGGAGGAGGGGTGTACATGGGGACCAGAGGCACACTCTGTGGACGGCATGAGATATGGTGTAAACCCTAGATCTAATGGAGACCCTGACACAGCACCAAGTGGGGGCTGCTTCATCCTGGAGAAGCCAGACACACATGGATTTCTGACAATGAGGGTGGGGGTGGGCAGGGCAGTAGTGCAGTTGGGAGAAAGGAGCAGGAGACAGGGGTATCTGGGAAGAGCTGAGGCCTGGGAGGAGGGTGGGATCTGAGGGCACAATAAGAAGCCAGTTCAGAGAGAGCGGCTAAGGCTTGTGGATGGTTGTGGAGAAGAGAAAGGGTGAAGTTGGCAGAGCTCTGAGCAGGGCATTGAACACATGAGATGAACCTGTGAAAAGAATCAGAGGCATAAGATCTCTAGTAGCATCTATGGTATAAAGAATCCAGGACCACCAAGGCCTGACCTAGGATGCACTCACTAGGGGTGATGCTGAGGTTGGTACCAGGAATCGACTGAAAGAACACCTCCTTTAGTTTTCTTGCTTTCAGATGAACTCGGCAGAAGTACACTGCCCGGTCCTTCTCCTTCAAGTCCAGGATTCTGAGGACTCCGGATGTCTGAGGCTGTGTCCAGTTCAGGATGAGCCGATTATTGAAATGCTTATGTATGAAACCCGAAGAAGAGTTGTAGATCAATTTCCCATGGAAGTGCTTCCATCTCCAGAGAATCGTCATCTGCAGATCCTTTGGTGATTTCCAGGGATAGTAGAAGGAGAAGGGGATCTCTATGGAGCTGCCTTGAATACCAGAGAGGTGTGCTGGTTGGTTGACCCCAAATTTATTTACTCTGATGGATCCTGCTGAATTCCCTGTGAAAATGGGGAGAATCTAAAGTCTGCAGGGATTGGAAAGCACAGCTCGGAGCTTACCGAGTCTTCATCCATAGGAAGGTATGGGACACAGGGCAGGACTATCCCTAGGTGATGTGGGAGTGTCATATATCAATCTGTTGATTTCATTAGTTAAGTAATAAACAAACTGCTTGGGCTCACAGCTTAGAACATAGGTGGGTGGAGTAAACAGAACAGAATGCTGAGAGGAAGAGGAAGTGAGCTCAGACTGACAGCTCTGCTCTCTGGAGAAGAGACGGCATGCTTCCCGCTCCCAGGCAGACGCACGTGATGAAGTTCCAACCCAGGATGGACGTAGGCTAGAATCTCCCTGGTAAGTTACCTTGTGGGCTACACCGATAATTAGAAATGGGCTAGTCCAGGTGGGAGAATTAGCCTAGAAGAGGCTAGATAAAAATGGGCCAAGCAGTGTTTAAAAGAATACAGCTTGTGTGTTGTTATTTTGGGGCATAAGCTAGCCAGGCGGCCGGGGACGCAGCCCCGCCGCTCTTATTACTACACCTAGGTTCCACTTCCCATGTAAAAGGACAGACAAGAAAAGGTTGGGTTTGACAGACTCAGAGGGACAAGCTCTCTCTTGGGGCACAGAGACAGGCTGGCTCCTCTAGCAGTCAGCTGTCTACATGGCAGCCCACTCTTCCCAGCCCAACTGGCCCCTCCTGTAGTTAAGACAGAGTACAGAATAGCAAGGTCCCCACCACTCACCAGGTGGTAGACTTGTTGCTTGCAGCAGCAGAAACAGGATCCAAGCCATGGTCCAATTACCTCTCCAAAATGAGACCAGCAGAGCCATCAGGCAGGGGAACAGACCCTGTGGAGGGACCCTGAGTTGCTCAGGAGTCAGAAGAGAATCAGGGTAAAGGGATCCACATCCTTGGGGCCTACCCATGTGGAGGACAGTGTGGGTAGGACCTCCCCATCTCCACCCCCTTGTGGCCAGCAACTTCCTTTATCATTCTGGCCCTCCCCCGCCATGTTGCAAAAGATCCTCCCTTGTGGCCATTGGCAGGATGGCCATGCCCTTGAGCTCAGCCCCCACTTTTGGCTGGAAGAAACAGCCTTGACCTCTGCATGCCGGGCTCTCCTCTCTTCCACCTTGACATTCTGTCTTATCCAGTCTTTCCCATTCCCTATGCAGCCCGCAATCACTGTTTCCTCAGCTCCCATTTCCTCCACTCCTGCCCTCCCCTCAGTCTGTTTCTCACTATGTCTTCCCTCATGCTCCTTCTCTCTCTCTCTCTCTCTCTCTCTCTCTCTCTCTCTCTTTCTCTCTCTTTCATAATCACTGTTAAGAGATTGATAATTTTCTGCTTACCAGACAGTGAGAAAGGAGGTGATGAGGAAACAGATCCAGTCCCAGCCCTAGCTTGGTGCCCCCACTACGGTCTGCTCTTTGCACTCTTGCTGCCTGTCAGGGACTCCTCACAGCAGCCCTGGAAAACTAAGGCCCAGTGGACACTCTTGCCCTGGCTGCTTGCTGCCGCCAAGTCTGGAATATTCCTGTGAAATTCCGGGAAAGTTATAGACTTGTCTGCCTCACCTCGACAGTGACTCCAGAACTACTCCAGTTTCTGAAGGAGCCTTTTTGTCTATTGCCACCCTTAACACACACTCAGAGGAAGAAACCAAGGGTCAGAGAAGCCTGGCACAGGTCACATGACTGCCACACGGCAGGTGACTGGACTTCAGTCCCATCGAGTTCTTGTATTCCTCCACTCCACACTGACTTCTGGCTGCCTGCTCGGTGCAGTCTCTGAACTCCGCTCACAGAACACGGATCTGCTGCTGGACTCCAGGGAGGCTGTTCCCACAAAACAATTGAGTGATTCCTTCTAGCTCTGTCTGTTCTAGAGCCTCTTTGGATGCAGTGGGAAAAGAAGGCTCAGAGCAGCAATATGTGACTCATGACATCGCCTGGGACACCTCTGAGACTGGACACAGCTGGTCCATGATTAGAGCAGTCGTGAGATGTGGGGGCAGTGGCTGTGGTGGCCAAAGGGCTGCTTCTGTAGGAGGTCATCCTACCCTTCCCCATGCAAGATGCTCTCAGTTCCTTGAAGGGCAGGAAGACATGATTGTATTAGAGGAAGTAGCATCATTCTCCCTGAGTGACGTGGACAGAGGCAACTTCCCATTCCCTTAGATTCCCTGACATTGACTGCCTTCTCCATGCTCCCCTCAGGTGACTATGCAGCCGCCTCTGTAATGTCTGCTTTCTCTGCCTTCCTCACAGTCCCCATGGTCCTCTGATCCCTTGACCTGAGCTCTCATGGTCATGGACCTCATTCTCATGGCCTTGCTGCCAGCTGCACATGGACGCACTCTGTGTCCATCCATCCTGTCCTTGGAGATGCAGAGCACAGGACCTTTGGGATGATTTAGCCCCAAATGGACCATCAGTCAGGAGAGGGGACTGGGCCTATTGTACCTGTCAGAAAGCACCTCCCCCCCCCCCCATTGGATGGGGTCTCATGCAGCGCAGGCTGAGCCTTGTACTTGTTATGAAACCAAGGATGATTTGAACTCCTACAGAACCTCCTCTCTGCCCTCCAATGTTCTGAGTGACAGGTGTGCCCCATCGTGCCCCTTTGTCCCCTGCTGGAGATAGAATCTGGGGTTCTGTGTGTCCCAGGGAGGTAAGCATCCCATCAGCTAAGCATTGTCCTTAGCCTTAGCGGGTCTGAGAAGAGGCCCTCTTGGTCATGAGTGCTCACCTCCAGTTCATCTGGCCTTGCTTTCCAGTCTAGGGTCTGTAGGTGAAGGTCTCTCGATGGCTAAGTCTCTGAAGGAGGGGCTGGGCCCCATGAGGCTGCATCTCTTCAGCTGCTGGTCTCCAGCATTTTTATACAACAGGCTCTGATTGGTTCTTCAGGAGCCCAGCTTCCCCTTGAGTTCAGTCTCACTGCTGCCACCTGCTGGCCCCTGAATCCCAAGTCATGGCTCTGTTGTTTCAAGTCCTGGACTCAGTAGATTCCCATAGGGACCCTGCTGTGGGATGACTTCTGTCCAGGCTGCTGTAATCAGTCTCCTGCAGTGAGAACCATTTTCCCCTCAAGAACAGTGACAGGGCCCTGCAGCCAGGATGATTTCACAGGGGAGGGACAGATTCTGTGGAAGAGCAGCCTGGGCAGTGGGGTGCACACATGGGGCTTTTGTGCACAGGTGACCATGGGGAGTGTCAGACTGCAGTGTTAGAACCTGGCTGCTGCTTAGGCTATAGCACAAGTGTGTCCTTCACCCGCAGAATAAATATGTGTAATTTTAAAAGTTAAAACTTAAAGGGGGCTAGACATGGTGGCCCATGCCTTTAATTCCAACTTTGGGGAGACAGAGGCAGAGTCAGAGGCAAACATGAGTGGATCTCAGTGAGTTTGAGCCTAGCCTAGTCTATATATCCAGCTCCAGGCCATCAGTCACTCAAAAAATCCAAAACAAGCAAAGAAATCCAAGCTGGAATGTGTCCTGAGTAGTAACGCCTGAGGTTGTCCTCTGGCCTCCACATAGGTGAGCACACACTTGCACACATATGTACCTGAATACAGACACAGACATATCATGCCAGGAGACATCCAGACTGGGTCCCGAGAGAGTTGAGGGGATGCTTGAGAGAGGGTGGAGGATGATGACCTGTGGTGTAGACGGGACACTCAGGCTGCATCTAGGACATTACAGTAACACAGTTGCCTCGCCTCCATCTGAACCCTTCTTTCTCCCCTAGCATGACATCATCATCTTCATCTCCCAACCTCTTCATGAGCACCTCCCTGCACCCTTGTAGAGGGGGAGCCCCCAGAAGAGACTCTCTACTGTGTCCTAAAGTCTAGTGAGTGGTGGGGTGACCAATTTAGCCCATACTCCTCTTGTATGAAGTCTCCCAGATTCTGCAGATAGCCAAGGCAGAGGAAGGAACTCACACACCATTGAGTTTGAGGTCACAGAAACTGAGAAACTCTCAATCTCCTCTTCAACTTCCTGTATTGCTTAATGAAACCCTTAATAGTCACAAAAATTATTTCAGTGAATGTAACGGAAAATTGGTTAGGTCTTCAAGTTCTTGTCTCAAACCAAAGTGAACTGTGATGACCTGCCTCCATGACCTCACTCTGCTCTTTGGAGTTTGGAGTTTTGGTTAGCTTTGGTTTGTTGGTTTTAAGACAGAGTCTCATGTAGTTCAGGCTGGCTTCAGGTTCTATAGGTACTAATGATAGCTTCCAATTCCTAATCTTGCTCTCTCTACCTGTCAATCACTGGTATTAAAAGCTTTTGCCACAATGCCCGGATTCCTCTAGTACTTTTTGTTACTGACTGGCCCTGGCTGGGGAACATGAATCCTAATCACTGGTAGCCCTGCTAGACCTTATGCCTGCTCCCATTAGAACAGTCCTGTTCCCTTCGCCTTAAGGGAGTTTGGCCTAAAATTGTTGAGAATGCTGGTTCTGTGTAAGTCTTTGCTGTGGGCCCCTTTGTTATTCCTCTGTTTTGAACAAGGGAAACTAACATGACAGTTCCCATGGTCATTGGAGTAACATCCATGAGAACCCTTCTCTGTGCCCGGCTACCTGGATGAGGAGATGATGAATGAACCGTTCCTTAGATGACTGGGCAGATGGTCATCATGGCAGCCTGCCTGTGTGAACACCTCAGGGATGCTCAGAGGAGACACCACCCCAGCTGCCAAGATCACTGTGACCACGGCTGCTGCTGAGTTCAGCCTCAGAGGTTTGGATCCAGTTACACCACAGCAGACATCATACAGCTGACCCAGGAGACTCTACTGTAGTCGTGAGAAGCCTTGGTGACTTCTCCATCACCCCTCCTAGCTTCAGCTAGTCCCATGGGGATGGGACAGTTTTCCAATGACTCAGCAAAGGCCCCTGATTGATACACATTTGAGGCTTGTCACTGATGGAATAAGAGCTGCATCTATGCAGGGCTGTGATTGGTGGATCTGAATCATGCATGCCTGTCTTAGGGTTTCTGTTGCTGTCAACAGACACCATGAGCATGGCAACTCTTATAAAGGAAATAATTTGGGGTGGCTTCCAGTTTTAGATGTTTAGTTCATTATCTTCATGGTGGACATAGCAGTATGCAGGCAAATATCTTGCTGGAGCAGAAGCTGAGAGTTATTCATTTGAATGCACAAGAAACAGGAAGTGAACTGTATCTATCCTGAGCATAGACTGACCATAGGTGACCTGAGAGTCCACCCCCACAATGACACACTTCCTCCAACAAGGCCACACCTACTCCGACAAAGCTATGCCTCCTAATAATGCCACTCCCGATGGGGATATGGGGGCCAACTACAGCCACATTGCCAAATGCCCATGCACCAACCAACTCTGGCTGTGAAAGCAGCCTGGATTTCGTCCTTATCGGTCACTGTGTATGCTGTCCTTATGTCCCAGCATGCTCTTTGGTAGAAGCTGACCCACTGACTATCAAATGTCAAGACAGACTGGACTTGGGAAGGAAGTCTTGTCCTAGGGGAGACCCCAGAGGTCAGAATATCAAGATGGCAGGAAATAAGGATAGTGGGTGCATGTAGATGGGCCTGTGAGGAAAGTAAGCCCAATCTGCGACCCAAGCAAGCCATGATCTGTCACCTGAGGAGGAGCATAGAGTGGCCTGTGGCTGAGATGTCAGTGTCCAGGGAGAACAGGAGAGAGGAACAGGGTTCTCATGCAGTGGTTCTCAGTGTGTACTATGGTCCCTGCTTCTCTCAGTGTCCCTGCTCCTGGACACAATCTG